AGAAAACGCATCGCTCCGTCTGTACCGGGGGTCTACATTCCGCCAGCATTTCACACTCTCACTACTTCACACTCGGTCAGCGCAAACGAAAAGGAATTTTCGTAGATCGCTTTCGCCGTCCCGCAAAGGTATCCGCAACACGCTACGCTACCCGGAACTCTACAGTCAAGGCCATGGGCGCGCAGGCGCATTAGCGGCTTCTTCGTTGCGGAGGGCTTAGCGGAGTGGGAAACGCGGTCTACGAAAACTCGCTATAGGGAGTTTTCGTAGGCCGCGTTTCCTCCTCCGCTAAGCCCTGCGCAACGAAGAAACCGCTAATGCGCCTGCGCGCCCATGGCCTTGACTGTAGAGTTCCGGGCATCGTAGCGGGTTGCGGAGGGCTTAGCGGAGGAAGAAACGCGGTCTACGAAAACTCCCTAATAACTAATGCACCCTCAATTACTCCCCCAGGAATGCAAACCAACGTTAAAAAAAAGCAAAAAAAAAACAAAACAAAAAAACACACACACACACACAAAACCTGCACTATTTTATAGGCCCAGAGGAATGAAAAAGCATCATGAAAGATTTTGTTAAACAGTGCTTGTACTTCACTCTGAAAGAACACTGTCCCGGTGCTTTGCACTGGCGTCACATCATCCATTTCGCACCACCACGGAAGAGAGAGAGACGGGGAAGCTGCTTTTGTACGAATTTTGAGTGCCGGGTTAATCTTCGAGAGGGAGAATAGCGACGCGTGCCTTCATGCCCATGAAGCCACTCTAGCAACGCCTGGTCACGTCGGGGACACGCTAAAGAGAGTCCTTCCCCTCTTCTCTGGCGGTGGCCGGAGATCTCAAGGGATGACGTCAGGTGCAAAGCATGTATACTCCCTTTCAAGTCCATAAACTCTAATTTAATTTGTACTTTACTTAAAGTACTTTTCATATGCCCTTTACCCGACACTGGTTGTGAGTTGTCCCTTTTTTCGGTTATCGTCTCCTGTTTCAAATGCGTAGAAACCGGGGACTCTCACTGAAAGCAGAGAGCGCGACGTATTAAACATGTATACAAGTTATCCATCGGCGGTTTTTCCCGCTATCAAATCGAAAATGCTTTCATCAAAACGAATGGTATGGTTGAATGTGCTGGGAACTATGGTCTGTTGTCAGGGTGGAGAGTAAAGATCAAGATGATTTAAATCACACACGTTTTACTACGAATATTTTAATGAAACCTTTCCCGCAAAAATAATCCACAAAATGCTATTTTATTTAACGTTTGTCTATCATTTATTGCTTCCTACCTTTAAGAATTTAAATCTTAAGAAATATTTATAACAGATTTGCGTATCTAGCAAATCAGAGCGTTGAGGTTTCTTCCTACTTCGTTTGTCAGCAGAGGTCGGCATATTAGGTCGCCCTCACTCACCCTCACCCTCATAGCCACACTCACCTTCACCCCCTCACTCACCCTCACCCTCACATCACACTCACCTTCAGCCCTTCACTCACCCTCACTGAACCTCACGGCCCTCACGCACTCACCGCCCTCACGCCCCTCACCGCCCTCACGGCCCTTACGCCCCTCACTCACTCATGGCCCTCACGCCCCTCATCGGCCCCACGCCACTCACCGCCCTCACGGCCCTCACGCCACTCACCGCCCTCACGCCACTCACCGCCCTCACGCCACTCACCGCCCTCACGCCCCTCACGGCCCTTGCGGCCCTCACACCCCTCACGCCCCTCACGCACTGATGGCCCTCACGTCACTCAGGCCAGCTTCAGATGGGGCAATTTGACCCAGAAACTTTACGTCGCAACACCAGCAACACGGGCCACCCGCGATCACACGCAGCAACCAATTGCTGCAATTTGCCATCGTCATCATAAAATTTTATTTTTCTTGCACTATTTAGACACAATTACGCGTTATAAACGTGGTTTTATGCATTTAAATCTCGTTAAGAATACTAATGCACCTTTCTGAAACAGTTTATTTCCAAAAAAACAATCGATTTCAAACCAGAACCAAGTCTTTCGGTGTCATCATCACCGGCACGAAATATCACGGGAAAATTTTGCGTCCCTGATCGGATGCAGCCGCTCCAAACGTATTCCAATTGCTCCGAGTTGCTTGCTTATTTCGAGCCGGACCCGATCTCAGCAATTCGTGTCGATCTAGGGAAAGCTAGAGAACAACCCGCCATTAACACCAAAATTGCTGAGAATGATGCTCGATCTGAAGGGGGCCTCACGCACTCACCGTCCTCACGCACTCATGGCCCTCACACACCTCATGCACTCACCGCCCTCACGGCCCTCATGGCCCTCACGCCTCTCATGCCACTCACTGCCCTCACGCACTCATGGCCCTCACACCCCTCACGCACTCACCGCCCTCACACCACTCACGCACTCATGGCCCTCACGCCACTCACCGCCCTCACGCCCCTCACGCACTCATGGCCCTCATACCCCTTACCGCCCTTACCGCCTGCATGGCCCTCATGGCCCTCACGGCCCTCACCGCCTTCACGGCCCTCACGGCCCTCACCGCCCTCACAGCCCTCACGGCCCTCACCGCACTCACAGCCCTCCCGGCCCTCACGGCCCTCCCGGCCCTCACAGCCCTCACAGCCCTCACTGCCCTCACAGCCCTCACTGCCCTCACTCACCCTCACACTCATGAATTTTCCTGGTTCAGAAACTCACTCACCCTCACCTCACCTGTGAAGATGAGGGTGAGTGAGGGTGAGTGAGGGCCCTCATGAGTGAGGTTCGCCGAGGTATGTTTGTCAGTCACATAAGCATAAGTCGTTATGACTTGTGCAAAATAAAAAAGTCAGAACTCGAAAAAAAAAAGAAAAAGAAACATAATGTTCTATTGCAAGCAAAACAAAAGAAAAACAAACAAATAAAGCTTTTTTTTAATAAAAAAAGACACAACAACAAGATGCCTTTGTTCTAGTACAGTGGGGTTTATATTAATAAATATTATCAATCAAATTGTACTTTAGACGTTTAAATTTACAGTAATTCTGTATTCCGTATTCTTTTCAATGATCGGACAGATACATAAAAATAATTGCTTCTTGTAGAGCTATAATGATTGAAATCAAATTTATTTAATTTAAATAATATAAACCGGATTTAAACAAACCAATCTGATTTAAATAAAATCAATTTGACTTAAATAAAATAAATCTAATTTAAATAAAATAAACAAAACAAATCTGATTTAAATCAAAGAAATGTAATTTAAACCAAATACATCTGATTTAAAACAAAGACACTCGAATTAAATCAGATAAATATTACTTATTTTATTTGTAAGACAAAAAAATTATTTTTTTGTCAAACTTACTGTGGCAGATTTAGGAAAGCAGGACAAGCGCCCCCCCCCACACACACACACAAAGCTCTCTGCTCGCCATTATTGGCTGTTTCCTCCTCTCCACTCGCCTTCTCTCCAGTGTTCGGTCTGCTCAAGTGGAAAGAGATGACGGCTTTGGGGGAGGATTCTGTCTCTCCTATTCTTAGCCGGCAAACCATGCATAAATCTATGCTCAAACAAGTGCCGATGTCGTGATGCGCGTAATGCCATTGAAAAATCGGATACGCGTCCTGATACATTCTTGTTTTTTAATCAATCACGTGAGAAATTTTCTGTAGAAAATCTTGCCTGCCGAAGAATTACGCAATTGTGACGAAGGTGCAGAACCGCCACATTTATGACAGCACAGTCAGTTGTTTGCGCGCACTGCATTTGAGTCTCAAGTTGTCTTTTACACATCACACATTTTTTTTTTCTTTAGGAAGTGGGTCGGCGATTGAGCCAGATTTTTTCCGTGTATCACCAACGCGTCTTTTGTATCGTCATTTAATAGAAAAAGAACGAATATGAACGTGAGCACTAAACACCCCCCCCCCCAAAAAAAAAACAAAAAAAAAAAACAAAAACAAAATTCAATCAGTGTTAAAAAAAAAAAAAAAAACAAAAAAAAAAACAAAAAAAACATGAGTAGCAACTAGAAATTTATTACGAAAATCTTGACGTTTTGGACACTGTAACAGCAATGTCCAGTGCATTAATTCTATAGTAATGTGACGCTTGCGCGACGTATCAGATTCACCCATGACGAAGATTCCGAACAAGTAAAGCCTCAAAATTTCTTAAAATAACTTTTTTAAAACTCACTTCATACGTAAAAAAAAAAAAAAAAAAAAAAAAAAAAAAAAAAATTGCAAGTAACGTTTTGCATTTTTTTAGTACGTTACGTTGACTTTTCGTTATAAACAAGTTTGTTTACTTACTGATGAATGTATATAGTAAAATGTACAGAGTTAATTTCAGAATTAGCTGTGCGCTTTAGTTCAACGCCCAAATTTAGGTACTTGTGTAGAACTGGGAGTCGTCCAGCTGTAAGTATATTTTGATTTTATTGTAGTTGTTAAATTTCAATTTTTATTCAATGTATTTATACTGGTGCATTCGAAGCAGTACAAATGGGGCTTCTGCGTGTAGGTGGTGCCTTGCCGGCTTTGCGCACCGACGGATCGGCAAGACGCGCAGTAGCAGAAGCTTGTAGTAGCAGACGCCTCTTCAGCTCTCGGCCAATAGCGCACTTTGCGGGGCGCATGCGCGTCAGCACCGCGTCTATTAGAAAGATGGCGACCCAAGATGTTGAGTGATCTCTGTTGATGTTCCTACAAACCCACTTCACGATGGCTACAAAGCCTGTGGAATGGGTTTCTTCGTTGATCACGCGTTTTGAAGAACAGGTGAGTGAATCCCGACCTTGGTTGCGCGCGACCGCGTCGCCGTTGCCGGCGAAATTGTCAACGTCTGTCATCGCGATCGGAATCGAGCGGTGTTTTTGCGCGGCCGCCTTTCTGCCTTTTAACCGTTTTGCTCGCGCTGTCGCGTGATTTCCGCACGTCCGACACGGATCCACACCTCCGCTGTCCCGCACGAGCCCCGAACGTACGCGATCCGGTTCTCACGTATAGTCGTTCCGATGGTCCGTTCCCGCAGAAGCCGTCGGTGCCGCCGCCGACAACGGAAGTGGTCCGGGCCGCCCACACTCTGCTCTTTCTCAAGACTTACGCCCGGTAAAAAAATCTGGGAGAAAAAAAAAGAACAACATATATTTCTATATTCACCGAATCGTTTTTAACTACAGTTAGTTCGGAACGGGGTCCGGTGTGCGTTCACTGCTTGTAGAGATCGACGCCAGACTTATCCATTGGGGAGGGAGAAAAATCGAAACAAAAACAAAAGAAATGAAAGCGCAGAGTGGTACCGTTGGTGCTGGTATCCTCCTGTCTTTCCGCAGCAGCGCGCGAGTCCCGGCGGAGAGCAGAGGCGATCGATACGTTGGATTTCTTGGGGCAGGCGCGAGCTGTCATGTCGTCGTTGATGGTCGCAAAAATGCACCCGTCGTTGAAAAACGGAAGAAAAAGATCGGAACCCGTTAAATTGCTTACAACGCACCTTGCCTTAACTGGCTTTGCGTGTGGTAGTAGTATTCCAGTGACTAGGAAATTCGTTGATGCTTGGGCAGGCTGCTCGGCCAAGCCGGTTGTGTCGGGATTTCCGTCGGCGGAGACCTACGCACGGCTCGTCCATTCACAGAAACCAGCGGTACGGCGGTTAACCCGGAAAAAAAATAAATAAAAAAGTGTCCGTATTTTTGCGAGTATCTGCGTCGCATCACGTAAACACTCCGCGACAGGAGTGTGCTTCTATGAAATAAATAAACCTGGAGAGTGGGAGCGGAGGATTCTTTTTCTTCACTCCTCGTAAACGTTTTTTTTTCTTTTTTTTTTTTTTTAACATTTTTACAATGCGCTTAGAATGATGAATGGGGCGGAGGTGGTCGGCGGATTTCAGATGGCGGTGGTTGTGCGTTTCATTGAAGCTCGGTGCATACAATGTAGCGCTCGAATGAATTCCGGAAAGGGATGATCAACGAACACGACGCCAGATTTATTTTTGCGTCGACTGTTTGTCTTCGGGTGAATGGCCATGTAAAATGTCCTTCCGCGAAAATGACAAACTAAAGTTTTTCGGCAAAAAAGAAACAATTTGTATATTTTTACGACCACCATAATAATAATAATAATAATAATAATAATAATAATAATAATAATAATAATAATAATAATAATAATGGTTATATCAGGGCCGTACCCAGAAAAAAATTTCGGGGGGGGGGGGGGGGGGGGAGGGGGTGTTTCGGGGACAACGGCGGCCATTTTGAAAATGTCTATTGTCTTATTTTTGCCTATGAATCATGTGTATCGGTGGCATATAATGGAGAGTTATAGCAAACCGAAGAACCGGTCCCGGTTTGGTACCCGGTAGCCGACCGGTGCCACTGCGCGTGCACAGAGGTGGAGGTTAAAATCAGCTGGCTGCAAGTGCACCGACCAAAGCCATACCCAGAAAAAAATTTCGGGGGGGGGTCAGAATCCCCTACCCCCCCCCCCCCCCCCCCCCCCCTGCTTACGGCCCTGGGTTATATAACTTAATAATAATACCTGTAATCAGCAAGGGGTCTGAACCCCTGAGAGGAACATCTTTCCATCTCCCGTCCACTTCCGACGCCTCTGGAAGCAATCAATTTTACTGTGGCCCTCATGCCCCTCTTAGACTGCCAGGAGGTAAGGGTGAAGGGCCTCTCCTCGGAATTTTTGTTATGTTTGGTAGTTTACGAAATTTGTGAACCTGAGTTGGTGAGCTTGGAAGAGTCTTTCGCTCCAGTGGGATACCTTGGTGAGGTGCAGCGTGGCACTTACCATTATGGAAAAAACTGAAATAAGAGTTTTTATAGATTGTTTCTTCTGTCCTGCATCACTCTCCGCAACCCAATACGAGGTTCAGAACTCTTTAGTCAAGGCAAGGGGCGCGCATGCGCACTGGCGGTGTATCGGTTGTGGAGAGCGTAACGGAGTAGGGAAAATGATCTACGAAAACTCTTTATTGTCAGAAACATTTTAGCGGATCTGATGAAGTTAGGTCAGGGAAGTGGGTGCATACCAAGCTGGAGTCGGCTGATCTCTCGAAAGATTGTTACTTGTTGGCAGGGTGTCTTTGTTTTTAAAGGACCACTCTGCTCAATCTTTGTTATTGAGAAAATAATGCGCTCCTCTTAAAGGGACGCTGACAAAGTATTTTGGCTCGCCAAGGTTTTTATTTGTACATAACATATGATAGCCCAACTACCCAGAAAACAGTTCGCGGTTTGAAATTTGTCTTCTTTCCACCCGAAAACCGCCGATCGAGAACTGGCCAGTTGAGTCGCGCTCACTCTCTCCTCCGTGGTCACATGCCGTTTTCTATGGTTTAGACACAAGCACCAAATATAATCAAAGTCGTGGGTCATGGAAGGCGTTCACATAATATTAAAAAAGAAAAGAAATATGATATTCATTCTTTGTGGCTTCTAAAGACCTGCAAATACGTTTATAAAAAAAGACAAACAAAAAAACATTGCACAGCCATGTGATTTTTGCCAACTCTCTCCTGTATATTTCTTTTTCCTCCCCAGTCCAGTTTCAGTTTCGATTTAGAGCAGTTGAGTTTTTTTTACTTTATTAAAATATATATGTGATGCTGCAGCAAAATATTGATTGGGTAGTCTTCTGACACCATAATGAATCACCTGGCAAAAACTAAAAAATAAATTTTGTATTATGTATTGCCCGGAAACACAACAAGTGGGTCCTTCATGTTGATGAGGACATGGGTCTAATGCTGCCAGCTGCAGCCAAAGTTTAGTTTCATGATCATGCTTAAAGCAAGATTGCTTAAAAATACTTAAAGGGGCGGTGCAACGGTTTTAATGTTAAAAGAATTGCCAGTTTGCATTTTTTATGTTGTTTATACAAGCCCAAGTGACCAAAAACGCGTCACCTTTCCCAGAAAAGCTGCTGATCTGCTGCGTAATCGCAAGGCAAAAAACGAATTACTTGCCGATCTGCAGCCGCCTGTGGCGGCTACGGGAACTAAAATGACGGCGTCTCTGGGGGTACGCGGAACTCAACAAACCCTGTCCCCCTCCGCTGCTACACTCGCCGTCAGCCCGTGGCGAACCGTCCTTTGTTTCCATCGCTCGCCGCGACCTTCGACGAGGCTAATCCTTTAAAAGTCGATAATTGCGGAGGAAGTGACTGATCTCTCAAGAGAGGACCCAAGGGGAAACCACGTGAACCCCCAGAGTACGTCACATTAAAGTCGACGTGGAGAGTTGAAAGGCACTTCGACCTTGGATTTGTTTCATTTTTTTCTAATAAGAACTAGCACTCGCAAGAAAAGGCGGTTTTCTGTGTTTAGTTCCATAGGTGACGCAGATTAATGTCCGCAGTTAATTGGCCAAAGTCTGAAAATCGTTGCACTGCCCCTTTAAGCTTCTTAGAAACAAACAATGTAAAGCTGTCCACTAATACCTGTAAATGTGACATCGCCTTTTACCCCAAAATTTTCAGAATTGAGAAGAGCTTTCTTTTAAAGCATATCTATAAGGTGGCAGAAGTTCGCCTTCCATTATAAAACAAGCCGGAAAAATTGGTGCCTTCTGTACATAGAAAGCTCGAACTTTCATAGAATGTGCACTGAGCAGGTCAGTTTTACCGTGTGAATGTTCAAGGCATAGTTCTCTTCCCGTGAAAAATTAAAGCAAAAGACTTGCCCAAGTCAAGGTTGGGTGCATTCGCAAATGACTGAGGTAGCAACGCTGTTTTCTTGTGGCACCATCTCTTGACAGGAGCAGCAAGCAGACGGCGCGCTCTGTTGTCTGCTGGCTGCCCCTATCGGGACATGGCGCAACAAGTAAAAAGCGTTGCTAACTTACCGTAGTCATCTGCAAACGTGCCCAACCTTGACTTTGGCAAGTTTTTTGCTTGCTGTAGATTCTTACGGAAAGTGAACTATGCCTTGAAATTTCACACAGAAAACTGACTTGCTCATTGCGCATTCAGTGAAGGTTAGAGATTTTGATGTGCAGACGTCGATTATTCCCGGCTCGTTTTACGGCAGATGGACGGCTTGTGCCACCCTATATATACTTTCTTTGAATCAGTCTAAGATTATACTAACGCCAGTGGATGCTTCAAATGTGAATGAAGATTTTATTTCAGCCCACAGTCATGATGGCGAGGCGTGATGTGCTGTTATTGTCATTGTAGCTAGTTTTAAGGCTCTTTGTTCTGCCAGAGCAGTTAAGGAGTTTTTGCTGAAATAGACAAGAAGAATCGGGGCATTTCTAAATGTCTCTGCTCACAAATTCCTCTTGTCTATGTCGTAGGATGTGCTAAAGGGTAATAAAAGCTCTCGTTCCACAGGCAAAAAATTTGGACTCGCAAAACTCACTTTTAATTTATCTAATTTAAGGCACCTCTTTCTTAAATTCCGAGGCTGGGCAACAAGCTTTCTGTAGTGTATTCTTATTGCTTCCGATAGGCACTAGCGATGCAAGCTCTTGATTTTTTGGAGTTGAGGGGGGGGGGGGGGGGAGGGGGAGGGGAGGGAAGGGAGAGGGGGGGGGGCGATTTTATGAACTGTTGCTTTCATTGAGCAAACTACGACCGAATTACGTTTTATGTAAGGGAGCGCAATTCCGATGTGTTTACCACGTGTTCCGAGCCAAACGCGCATTCCCTGCCTCTGTGCAGCTTCCGTGCCGGAGTGGTCCTCAGACGACACACTCTCGCATCAACGTGGAGCAGAACAAAGAGTGCCTCATCAACATCAGCGAGTACAAGTTCTCGCTGGTCATTTCGGGCCTCACCAAGATCTTGCACTCCGTCAATGAAGTGGTGCGTCACACCATTTCCCACACTTCCCTTTTTCTTCTTCGTGCGTGAGCGGAAAATTTACTGTCATCGAAATCCGAGTTAGAGCATAAGAACCTGCTTGTAGCGGCCTCCTGCTAACGAGGGGCCCGAAGTTCTTGCCTTTACTCGCACTCGGTTGGGAGACGGAAAGGAGCCGTTGGAAGAGCCAAGGGCTGTGCATTTGTGGATGGAAGGAGTGCAGTTTGTGGCTTGCGTTGGTACGACTGAGCGACAGTACGTGTTACGAGCGCATGCTTGTGTTTCTGAGTCACATAAGAGGTCTGCTAAGCAGACAAGTTATTCCTTTTTTTTTTGCCGCCAGGTAGCGAGCTCCTAGTTTTTTTTTATTTCTAACTACTTTCTAATTTATATTGTGTCTTTTGTGCAAAACGCGTTTTGGTGACGGGTCCTGAATGTGATGCACAGGTATCTGGTACTCACTGGTGCGCACTATCTGCCAGTGTGCATTGTGTGAAATTGTGAATTGTTTTCTAATTTAAGAGCTTGCCCTTCGTGATGCATGCAGATGTAGATTTGAAGCCTCCAGCTGAGCAGCAAGAAACCAACCTCAACTCTTGCTGGCCTCTTCCGCCTTCCTCGCTTATTTTTTTTTCAACGCACATATTTTTAAGCATTTAGGCTAAATTCTGTTAATAACTTTGACCCGCAATGTGCACTGCGGTGAACGTCACGTTCGATAGACTTTTCGGAATCTAAATTGGAAAGCACTCGATTACCTTAATAATATATGGCCTCAGTTCATTGGACCCTTTTTAACTGCCAATTACTGCACAGATCATCACAAACTAGTACCTTGTTGCTCCGAAATAAGAGCTAGGTAGGTGCTGGCCAGGAGTTATGCCGATGGCATGTGCATCAGTGATGTGTTCGACAGTCTGAACTTGTTGTTAGCCAGTTTTGAAACCTAAGATCTCTTTTTTCGCTACTTGAAACTTGTTTTGTAGAGTCATACACATTCCCTTTCTATTTGCTGACGAGATTGTCGGCGAGAGGAGTGTGTGTGGTGATAATAAGTGGGTCGAGTTTCTGAGACGGGGCCCAAGGTTTATTGCGTTGTGCGTAAGCCCCTTTCTGTGTACCACACCTGTATGTTCCAGTTCCTCTTCCAGAGGGCACACAGCCAGATTCAGCCGGAATTCGAGAAGAACTTCTACGAGTCCCAGCTCATTGTGCTGGACACGCTGGAAAAGTGCCTCAACAGGGTGGGCCTCCCTCTTCCACTTCCCCTTTAAAGTGATAGCTTTATATGGGACCTTCACGGGCCTTTTTTGTTCGAATTGGTCCAACCACAGGACGCCGCAATGCCGCGTGACTTCAATCTCCCCACTAAATTTGGTGGCGAAATTGTGACATTGCATCACTTGACAGCAAGAGTGTCACATTACCACATCACACAATGTCATAATGATTTTCGCGTTAAATTTAGCGGGGAAGTTGTAGTCCCATGGCCTGACATTACGTGATGTCAGGTCATGTGACACTTTGATGTTGCCACGTGACCACATCATGTGACCCCGGGTTTCTGGCCATAATTTCCGATCAACACCCCATCAAGTGCTATTGGCCCCATCGCTGCATTTAATGGAATGTCTAAGCCAGGCAGTTTGTTTACCTGTAAAATGTAAAATTTTGTTTATGTCGCATGTTAGAGGTGGGCCCTTCGATGACCTATTAGGACACCGAGTGATCCACACTTTAAATCCTGGCTTGGCGGGACATGTCCTGGCCCAGCCTTGACTGGCATCATGTGATGGAGGATGCTGAACCGAAATTTGGATTTCAGAAAATAAGACCGCAGAAAAGTTGAACAGGGCGCTACAAACTCCAAAACATCACTCATATGTCAATGTCTCAAACGGATGGCCGTATTCTTGGAAAAGAAGGGTGCGCTTAAGCGAGGACTACGACGTCACAATCCTCCTGGAACAGTTGAGAACGAGAAGTAGCTGCCTGGCTTCTCTCCTCCTCACATCGGGTCATCAGCTCGAGGGGACGAAGCAAAGAGGAGAGGGAATGAGAGTCACAACGTGACATGTCTCATCGGCCGTGTTCGATTGTGCACTTTTCGAAAATTCGGCCATCCTAGCTTAGAAATGTCGCTGTGTGAGTTTTGTTTCTGGGTTTTGCAGCGTTCCGCCCATCGCTTCAGCCTTGTTTTGTGAGCTCCGAATTTCGGTTCAGCATCCCTTTAATGCTAGTACTGCTTTAACTAGAGCAAATTTAAATTTATTCTTGCGGCTGGGAAACTAAAAGATATTTTATGTTCTTTTTTTTATTAGGGGCATGTGAATACTGCAGTGATGTGATTGCTGCGCCAATTGCGCCAAACTGCGCCAAGGGGCTAACTCGCTACATTCTGCTACATTTTGCCAAAATATCGGTAATCTGCGCCAAGCCTGCGCCAAAGGACCAGTTTTGGTCGCTTTTCAAAACCGAAACTAAACTGAATACCGTAATTGAGCATGCGTGAGCTAACTGGCACAGGCGGCCGCCCACACAAAGTACCCTGCATCAATTCTGGCATTGTAATCCTGGAGCCGGGGAAAAAAAGGGACGTAGAACAGGCACAAAACTCCAATGTCAGTATTGAACCAGCTCGCCTGCACCCTTGCTTTAGTCACATTAATCGTCCATCCGGTCTCGCATGGTTTTTCCCGCCGTCTCTTCTTTCGCGCTCTCGTCGTCTCGTCAATCTAGTCTCGCGTTCTTTTTTTTTCGTTTTTTTTTAAACGAAATTACATTTTTGCGTGGCAGGAGTTACTTTTTGAGCTGAAACACTCGCTTCTGAAAGCAACGGCCGTGGGAAAACTATTTGGTCCCCTGCCGGCCAGTCCGCGCGTGGCTACAGATATGGACCTTCCTAAACTGAAACATAAGGACCGCCGCATGTTCATCAACATTCCTATTCTTGTTTACTACATACGCTACTACGAAAATCCCTCTTTAACTCAAAGACTGCTGTGTGGAAGTATTGATTACCGAGGTTTCTCTTGGTTGGCTTTCTTTCAAGAGGGACCCAGTACATGAAAAATCTGTTGTGAAAGAAAGTTGGTGAAGAAACGTGAGCTAAAGCAAAGAAGGCAATATCTGCACGCTGAACCCGCACATCGCGCTTGTTTGTCTCGAGTTCAGTCTTTGCACAAAGCACTCCAAGAACGTTTTGACCCTGACTCGCGATGTCTTGCATCGATGCGCTCAGGTTCTTTTTTTCTGTATGTTTAGCTTGTACCTCGCCTGCCGGCCTTGCAAGCACGCGCCGCTGAACTGTTCATTGCCGCATACTGGGCAGTTAGATTTTGCATACATTTTTGGAAACCAGTTGGCGACAGAGCGGAGAGACATGATTTCGGTTTCGATCGAACAGCCGTCTCCGCTCGCGCGACGAAGCACGTGCAGCTGCAAGCCTGCCGAAGTTGCCCTGACGTACATGCAAACATGATTGCACGACAGAGGCACCAGCCGGGACGCTTGCAATCCACTGTTTTACGTTTACTTGTGACAAAAATCTGGCACGTCGGGAATCTGTAAAACGGTGGCAAGCGGTTTTTCAGAATTGCTCGGCAACGCGTACAGCACTGAACACTTGTAAGGTGTCTCAATGTATTTTTGGGGACATTGAAAGTGGACATTATTTTCTAGCCTAAGCCAAAGCGAAGCTTGCAGCAGCTTTCCAGAAAGTTTCGAAAAGCAAAAAGTACCCGCTAGTTGTAATGCACATTGTTCTTGTGTGCAATTTCGGATTGCACTGCAGTAGCTATATATATATATATATATATATATATATATATATATATATATATATATATATATATATATATATATATATATATATAATGTGTGTGTGTGTGTGTGTGTGTGTGTGTGTGTGTGTGTGTGTGTGTTCCACCAGTCGGAGACTGCTTCCATTCATTATATTATATCACTAGTCAACCTATAGCTGTGATATTTGCTACTGGTCATTTTCAAATAAATTTTAATATGTAAAGTTTGGTTTTCAAATAAATTTTAATATGTGAAGTTTGCTTTTTATCTATCTATAGTGGGTACATATATATGTATCATTTAAGGGGGACATGGGTCTTCGGAGCCAAAAACTTCCTAAAACTGCATTCTTTTGAAAACGGCAATGGCTGTTGTTCTTCTGAATCTACCAGGCTTCTAGTGTCGTGGATGAGTATTTGAGATATAAATCAATTTATAATGTCTATGCGGGCTGAATGTGCATTTAAGTTGACTCTAAAACATTGTGTTCACATAACATAAATTTTGGACTCATTGAAAATTTGCAGAAAGGATATCTCAGCATCTAAAGCAGTCAGCAATATAATCTTTCTTGAAATGTGTTGCTAAATGTCTGAAGCATACAATGTTTAAAGCAGATTTTTTAATATAGGTCTAGACATTTTTTTATATGATCTTTTGCTTTATTACTTGTTAGCCATGCATTGAGCACTTAACTTCAATATGTTGTGAAATCACTAATAATTCATTTATCTTAAAAGTACTTCTAACATTGTATTCTTTACACTTCGTGGTATCTGGCCATGTGTTAAAAAGGATATTTTGGTGAGCAGCTTTTCCATATCATTCCTCCAAACAAAGGCAGGCAAGTTTTAATTACCTTCAGGAAAATTCTACTGACTGAGGAAATATATGAAATCAGCACAATAAGCTGAACAAGCGTGTACAATTTCAATGAGTTTGGTCATGAAATAAGAAAAAAAAGCTCCAAGACCAGTGCTCCTTCTTAACTGAAACATTGCAAAATGTGTGCAAAACCCACCTAGGAGTCTTTTGCAACAAATGCAAAAGACTCCTTTTGCATTGTGTTCGCCCACCATTGCAGTTTGCAAGTTCGACCACCATTGCAGGTGGTCGAACTTGACCATAATTCGTTTATTCCGGTGAGCAAAGTGTCCTTCGTTTGTCCAGCATCTAAAACAAATATTTGTATTTTTCTAAGAATATCTGCTCCGAAAGCCACTTTCTGTGCTCCGGAACACTGTTTTAGCTGCTCCAAAAGCCTTTTTTTTGGCTGCTCCAAAGGCCACTTTTGCTGCTCCAAAACACTGTTTTGGCTGCTCCGAAAGGTGCTCCAAAACGACTTAGGCCAATCACATCACTGATACTGCTTCTGATTGAATTGTGCAGTCTCATCCCTGGCTTCAATACTGCAAAGAGAGCTGGCATGTCATGGCTCCTGTCTTACGGTTATGAACAATGTCGCGCTGTTTGACTCTGACCACTATTCGCACACCTTATTTCTTCAAAAATTATCCGCAATCCTCGAGGCATGAGTACAGCAGAAAGGTTGAGTTCTTGAGAAAAACACGTCCTCTTTTGTAGCACATGCTTTGTCCTCCTACACTCAGTTTTTCTAATTACAAAGAAAAAAAAATGGCACGCACACTTATTCTTGTGTTGAAAACTGCGCAGTAAATGGGGAAAGCTGGTTCTGCATAAATGCAGTATGAAATTAGCTTAGAGATTTTCATGAAAGAGCCAAGAGGTCAGGAACAATCCCTTTTATTTGTCTCAATTCTTTGAGTCCTGAGAGAATAAGGGTGTAACCTGTTTTGCATTGTCCTTGGAGTAGTAACCAAATTTGCTGGATATCCATTTCATCGAATTTCGCTTAGAGAAGTCTTCTTTACTAGTAAGTCTGTTCATTCCTAATTGTGCTGCTCCTTTTTCTCTTATTCCAGCAACCCAAAGAGACAACCCGCTATGATGAGACCATGAACGTCAAAGCGCTGCTTCGGGAACTCTGCCAGGTAAAGGCAACGCTTCACCGCCCTAGACCTTTATGGTGGTTTGCCGTTGATAGTGTGCAGTTTCCTCGTGTAATTATGCATCTATTGTCTAGCAGTGCCTTTATTTTTGTGAGCAGTTGATTAGCCTTAACTCCTCGCACAGTTACCATGCGCTGCATTTGGCTACAAGACTGCTCGTAACTCAGGCTGAAAAATAATTTGAAGTTAATCTGGAAATCATTATTGTTTAGGGTCACTGAACACATTGCTACTCATTAATTGAATCCTAATCAACAGAACCTTAAGGTGCTGCAGTTCACTTCAGCAGTATAGACCAATCCAATAAAGGGATTCTGGCCGGTGCCATTTTTATTGCTTTGCAAATGGCACAAGCTTTGCTTGCTTCGCTTGCCTTGCTGCTGGGCTGTAGAGACAGCACACCAAGCTGTGCATTTCTAAACATTGGAATGGTTGATAGTGCCTACGAGGTATGTGACTGGCGATTTTACTTGGTGTGACACTGTGCATTGGCTGCACAGTTCATCGACATGCCAGACAGTCCAATGGTGGTCCCGTTGAAAAATCTGGCATCCAAAGTGCTCTTTGCCCTGAGCCTGAACAACTTCAGTGCCGTCTTCAATCGTATTTCGGGCAGGTAAGCTGGGGTCTTCTTTCTTGCTTGGTTCTTTGCAACATCTTAACATTAGCTTCCTAAAATTCACTAGCTTTTTAAAACAGTGTAGTACATTGGTTTTAGCAGCCAGACAATCTAAGAATTCTGCAAAGTCGACATTTTCAGAAGGTGGAATTTTTGTTGCATTTCTCTGGGGACGAGTTGCTAGAGCAAGCTCTAGGATCTCAACATCTTTTAAGCCTTTAAATTTTATTGTTTGGAAACTTGCAGTGGACTATACAAAACGTCGTTACACAGACTACATTGATTTTTTAATTTTTCCGTTTGACTAGTACATAATGATTTGATAATAAGGATAAACAATGTAGCATTTCTTGTGTCAATTCCTAAACATGTGGTATTAAAAAAAAAGCATTGTTGCAAGTTTGTTGAGGACCACTGTTACACTCTGCAGGCTCCATGAGCTTTCCAATGCCAATGAGGAGATGACAGACTTCAGCGATATTGAGCTGATCCAGCACATCAATGTTGATGTTTTGAGGCTGATCAAGCTTCTTAATGGTGAGTGCCAGCCCCTTTGTGTCAAAAGTGCCTGTCAAGCAAACCTAGTGATGTGTGCATCTAAGGTGCACTTGGTTCCTCTATGTCTCTCACGCAGAAATCAATTCCAAGTTTCGATCGCTGCGCAAGAATGCACATCTCAGCTTGATGAATAGCCTTGAAAAGGTCAGTGGCTAGGTTGGCTTCGAAATACCATGCTAAAGAGTGGTTTTTGGGTCAGAGGGGTCTTAGCTAAACTAGTATTTTTGTTCAAGCTTGCATCTCGCATTTTGCCATAATTTCTGCATACATTGGATCTGATTACGATTTTCCTCGTTATGGCCAGTGTCCTCGGCCAGTTACAATTAATTCATTGTTTTGTTGAGCTTGTGCTACAAAGCCGTGAGTTGCTTTGTCTTGATAGCATTTTGAGAGCATTCTAAGCATGTTTGCTTATAAGCAATCTAATGTCTCTCCCCCCCCCCCCGAAAAAAAAAAAAAAATGAAATAAAAAAATATTTTCAACAAACACAGGCAATTTGGAATTGGATGGACACCTATCCTCACGAGTTCATGGACCTGCAGAAGAAGCCCAACGACGAGCTCGCAGGTTTGTTTCTTTTTTTCATTGAAGGCTCCTAGCTCTTGACTCGTTATACTAGTAAGCAAAACTGCTTGTCATTTTGAAAGTACTGCATTGTGTGACACTATGTTATAGTGGGTACCATCAGGGGCCCGCCTGGGTGAACAACTCCAATTGGCAGCTAACTGTGTGCTTGTTCTCTGCAGATTCGTGCGACCGCATGTTTGACCTGTTGGACAGCTTTGCTGAGAACAACAAGCGAAGGGCTCAGGCCTGGCCCCTGCAGATCATGCTGCTTGTCCTCTGTCCTGTGAGTGCCCTAGTTCACCTTGGTCCTGGTTCTCTTGAGGATAGGCAGGAATTCTGTAAACAAATTAATTTTCACGGATGATGTATTTCGCAAACATTCCAAAGTGTGCCTTTAGAGAATAGTTTGCGGGCCCAAAATTTAGCGATTGAGATTTGTGTGGCATGCCTTCGTTATCATGAGCCGATGTATTTTTGCGGTAAATTTTTAGCAGTAAGCCTTGGAATTTGCGAAAATGAGGTCCTTGCTAAAATTAAGTCGTTTACAGTATGCGGAGAATAGCGAGAAAGACTGCTTTCACCAATAGTTGCCCTTTGAGGTGCCAGCGGGGAGACTGGCATGGTATATGGCTGCTCTACACTGCGAACTGCTACGGAGGATCAACTATGCACTGGGACAGAGCGTTAACTAAGCATGGCAGCTGCAGCCGTCCGCTTAATTGAATCATTCACAAAGATGCTGACAAATGTTCCCATCTCTGATCTCCTTCGAATAAGGTTTCTGACGTAAGGATAAACAGCTTTTCAATCAGTGCAAACTTATGTTTCGATGCTCACTAACTCTATTGAGTTGTCCTTGTAAAACGAAATATAGGTATCTGATGAGCTTGTTATTTTTGGGAATTGTAAGTGACATTCCAAATGTCACAGTCGTCGACTTAGTACAATCTTTTCCGGTTTTGCGTGCACAGATCATACTAGAGGAGATCGTGAATGCTGACTCCGGAGCACCCTGTTCACCTCGTCACCTTAAGAAGGTAAGCTGGTGCTTTTGTACTCTGAGTTTTTAGTTAGCGACTCTAAACAGGAGTTGTTGAATGCCTGTGCCACCCTTTCACCATTTGGGACGAGCCTAGCTCATCCACCTAGAGTCGTTCCCAAACTGTTTAGGATGAGTGTAGCTCGTCCGCGCACCCTACCTCGCCCCTTGGCTGTTTTTAGACGACCCGCTTAGTTTGAGGCTCTGTTTAGAAATGGCAGCACGTGTTATTTTATTGTACACGTTTTTAAGGATGGCGACCGATTGTGGAGACATGCGCGGCCCGAGCCGCACGTGCAATAAAAAAAAAAAAAGTTTGGAATTCAAAATTGCTACAAAAAACAAAAAGGGTTAAGGGTAGTAAGAGATTGCAGAATGCATGTAAATTTGAAATTTTGAATCCACTTTGAATGGTGTTTTATGTTTGCCTACATTTGAAGTGCAGTTTACTAGTTAAACAAATTTTGAGTTTCTCAGTGTATACTTTACCAGGTTCTCAACTGCTGAAATTTTTTTTCTTGCAAGAATATTTATATATTTTATGCAATGCCTTATAAGGGCACTTTGAAGAATATTAAGTAAATAAATAAGATCAAAAGAAGCAATGAATTGACGGGTTTAGAACTGACAATTGGCGAGTCTTGGTACTTTGTGTATGTTGAACAGCCAAAGGTGTTCTTAAAGGGGCACTGTAACAATATTGAAGTGACTCGTACAACGTCTCGGGCAGACTGAACGTTTATTCAAGGGCTCTGCTTCTTTTTATCAGCTAGTGTGTTAGTGCGCAAAAGAAAGAACAGAACAACAAAAAGGAGGGCAAGTAGATTAGGATAAGATAATAGCAGCGTCACTGTCTGTCACAGCAAATATTGAGATGGGAAGTTTTTCACTTTAAACAGGCTTAATGGCACTATAGTTTGTTGCAACTCAAGAAGGTAGGGCAAAGGAAAGGAAGGCTGGGGAGGAGGAACCAGACTAGAACGTTAAAGAAGAGGGGGGGAAACCTCCTCCCCTCTTTAGCGTTCCGTCTGCTTCCTCCTCCCCGGCCTTCCTTTTTTTCGCCCTACCTTCTTGAGTTGCAACGAACTATAGTGTGGCCCAGTTATATCTGCACGCAATGCCACTGACCAAGAACCTTTTTTGTCGTGAGGTAATTTCGAGGATAAAAGCTGACTTTTTCTTTGTTTCTTTCTCGCAAAATCTGATAACGTAGCATAAGGTGCAGTACTGCTGTAGCCCCTGGCGACGACCCCCGTGTGACAATATTTGGATGCTGCTCATAGATTGGACAAGAGCATTGCGTGAGCACTCGATTTAGGCTCGTGAGAATCAAGAGGTTGACATGCATTTGGGTAGTGGCCTGTGTCCAATTGCCGCAATGACGGTAATACCAGAACCCTAATACTAATGTCTAGAACTCGGCGGGTGCCCCGTGGTTTGCCAACCGCAGAGTGTGGGTATAATGAACATTGGTGGCATATAATCATTCCCAGATGACATGGTTGCTTGTTCCAGTTGTGAGTTGAGAGGTTCGAATGCGGTTAGTTTTTCTCAAATGTTTTCATGGGACTGTCATTGCACGAAGAGAAAAACTAATGCGTGTTTCGTAGGTTGCGAACATTAAGAATTAATTCCAGGGGGCATTTACTGAAAGTGTGAACATTGCTGCACTGCCTCTTCAATGTGTTCCCCGGTTTCTTGTTTGCAGCGGCAGTTCATAGACAGCGTGAAGAAGGCCCTGGTCCCCCACGGGACGAGCAAGCAGCTGACGGAGGCTGCGGCCGTCACCTGCGTGAAGCTGTGCAAGGCCTCCACCTACATCAACATCCTGGACAGCAACAACGTCGTCTTTGCCCTCGTGCAGGTCGTCATCAACGACCTTAAGGTGGGATTTTTCGCACCTTCTAAAACCGTTCCTTAGCGCCGAGCTAATATTTTAATTGTGACTGACTTCGTTTTTTTCATATTATTCCTGCGTGAATCAAAGGCAACCTTTCTTTTTGATGCTAAGGCACTGTTGTCAGACATGAGAGCCATCCCAGATAGTCGAGCTGCAAGTGTCTGGCAAAGAGACTGGTAGTTAGATGTATCTACGCTGCGCAGTGCATTTAGTTAAAGATGGCGGTGCTTGCTGAAAATCCACTAAGCCTAAACACTCCCATTGTTGCCCACTCGTTGCACCGCAGTTGCTCCTGTTCAATCCGGCCAAGCCATTTGTACGCAGTCAAGCAACAGTGACTCAGGATGTGGAGCTCATGATAGACTGCTTTGTCTCCTGCTTCCGCATCAACCCTCACAACAACGAGGCCCTCAAGGTACGTGCCGGGCCCCTGCCGTCCACTCCGTACGCTCTTGTTTGTCCTTCGCTGGTTTCAATGGTCTTCTATACTCGGTACTCGCTCTGCACACTCTCGTGTACCTTTTGTTGCTTTTAACAACATTCCATAGTCAATATCGGCAGTTTTCATCTCCGTCGAAGGCCGACGTGGCCCGTGCGGTTAGAAGCTTTCTGTCTTCTCCCGTCATCTCCCTTTTCACGGAGAGAGGGGTGCCGCAAAGAGAAAGGTAGAAACTGATGCTGCAGGGACGTTCGGCTGTTGCTCTGTGCAAGAAAAGAAAAGAATGAAAAAAAAAAAAGGCTCGAGGTACACCTAAGCACTTCTTATGAGTTGTGAATGCGAAAGCATGCACGCCGCTCTTCCGCTCCTTTCGTCTGCGGCATACTTGCGTCGACGGTAGAGTGTGTGCGCTGTCCTCGGCATGCTGACCTTGGGCGTGGAGCAATGGAGCCGCTGCCTCGCGGACACGCAATGCCATGGGGTGGCGGTCGTTGAAACTGACATGCAGCGGCCAATGGGAGCCCCGTCGACGCGCGCCAGCCAATGGGACTGAAGCTGAAACCTATCAGCTTTACTTCGCTCCTTTGGGATTGGGGAAACTATGTGCCGTTTGGCTAGGCTTTTCGCGTGGTTTCATAGCTGGGAGCTGGCTTCACTTGGAAAAAGGATTTTAAGTGCCGTTTGGCGCGGCTTCAAAGCTGATGACATTGGCTCGCTCCATGCGACAGTTAATGCTTTCGCATTAAAAAGAATCCATAGGAAGATGAGCAGGGGGCCAACAAGAAGACGCGAGTAAAGAAGAATGAAACAAAGGAAAAGTATTTCTTGTTTAGCAGAGGTTTTTCGCCCGTCCTGCAAGGCGGCGAAGCTCTGCCGCCCTAGGACTGCTGCGTTGGCGTTGCAAAGCGTCGCACTATATTTTCGGTGTATAAACAGTATTGCGCGACTCCCGCCATAGTCCCCAAGACGAGAATGGTGGGGCCTCTCCTCTAGGTGCCCGGCCTCCAGCACCCGCCCGTCGGCCTGCGTCACACTTTGGCTGCACGTGCACGCTCGAAGCTCACGTGGCGCCGACTAGTTATCCAAACTGGGATGCTCGCGTTGGAGGCAGAACGTCCAAAAAGACATCCCTGCCGTTTTGATCTTGTCGGCGACTGAAACGTCGTGCACCCAATTTGAACGGCACTCGTCGGGAGGGGGAATCGGTGGCCGGGCGTTTTGACGCGCCGAAGCTCAGAGTGTGCGGAGCAAGAGCTCGCGCCGCATAACCCGAAGGTCCCGGGCTTGATCCCCACCCCTGCCCGTTTTGGTCCGATTGAGCGTCGTACCGACGTGCGGCTGTCTGTCGTCGCTGCACGATGCATGTTAAAAGTCCCCGGGCTAGCAGTGGTACGGCATTGGCTAAAGTTCTTGTCTGCAGCAGAAATACCGGATTCCCGTTGGGGCTGACTAGCCTCCTGCTGTCTAAACATACAATGCAGTTACCGTATATTCCAAAGTATAACCCACAGTTTCTAAAAAAAAAAAATTTCTGTCGGTGCATCTTATACGATGGTGTGACATATGCATTTTTTTTCTATGATCATGGACCTTGACTGTGCAAGTTTGTCTTGGGGGTTGCGTTTTTCCTTCGATTCGTTTGCAATAATATTGAAACTGGTTCCTGCTTGCACATATATCACAATCACAATATGTATGTTTAGGCTTATCGATGCAGTTTTGTCGAGCCTACCGTACTAAAATATAGTAAATGCGACTTATTTAGAGGTGCAACCTTTTTTTTGTAAAGAAACGGCCGCTTATAGGGGGGTGTGTTTATGGACCGGAAAAAAGGCGTAGCAAACTGCCGGGCAATCATGTTGCGCGTGCAACGTGTGGCGTTACCTAAGCTCTCCGTGCCTTTCGTCGGCTAGTTTAGTGACTGGCTTCACACGTGGCACGCATGTTCAATACCAATTCACGTAACAGAGATACCGGCGCAAACCTGGGTTTTAAAAGTATGCTACAGGGTGTCAAGTTGCCATCTGCCGGATGCACAGCAGATGCCCTGCTGGGCTTTTTTTGCCAAATAGCGCCTCAACTCACGGCGATGTGGCGCTACACGCCGGAAATTGACACTCGCCTAATAATCTGAATGGTCTGGGTTCGATTCCCGCTTGACGTAAATGCTCTTTTACTGCGACGGCCTCTTGCCCTCTTCCCACTCAAGACCCATTGGCGTCGAACTGCGCGGCCACGTTTTTATTCAGGCTTTTACGAAATGCCGAACACCTAGCCAAAGAAGGTTTCACGTCGATACGGTCCTTTCGACTGGTTACGCACGGAGGAATCTCTTCGTCGGGGCTGCCCTGAGCGTCTGCCACAGCCCTACGTGCCCCTGTGCGCCGCAGGTGTGCCTGCACGCGGGCGCGGGAGCGCCCTCCTGGACGTACCACCACGTGCTGCTGGGCTCCCTGCTGCGGGTGGTGAGCCAGCCCCGGCTGCCCTGGTGGCCGCAGGTGGACCTGCTCTACTCCAAGGCCCCCGAGCTGAGGCACATGTTCACCGACACCCTCAACAAGGTCACCCAGGGCTTCATCTCCCACGGGCCGGTCAAGATGATACCCGTGAGTCTCTCTCTCCTGGCTGCCGCCGCCGCCTCAACTCTCGGAGCGTACTCCACGTTCGGCGTTGCGGATTTTTAGTTGGACTGTTTTGATGAGTGAGGAAACGTAACGGGTGTTCTCTGTTTCGGAACTGTTGGTCCGCTTCGAATGATTTTAGTCTGAAGACCCGAGCGTCCGAGTGAGCGAGGCATCGATGAGTGTTTAAGTGCTGCCATGTATTTGGGGCTTTGGTTTGTCATATAACAAGTACAGCTTTTTCTCTTGTTCCCCACTGCAGATTTTCGTTGGAAATGAAAGGTTAATTATTATTAATTTTTGTAATTCATTATGGTTGTAGTTGGTACTTCTCGACAACTACAGTCGAACCCGTTTATAACGAACCCGGTTAGAACGAATTATGGTCTATATCGAACACACAAAATTTTAAGATCAATATTCATGAGAAATATACTTTCTATAACGAACCACACATCGGTTATATCGAACTGCGAGCACCCGCTACCGCCCCCGTGGAGACGCGCGGGCTTCCGTGCAATGCACAGAGTGACAGAGGACAAGAGAAAACCAAGAAAAACACGATGGCCCTTGAGAAGATGAGTCACAAAACCGACTGCGAACGCCCGCAACCGACCCCCGCGGAAGCGCGCTGGCTTCCCTGCCATGCACGGAGCGACAGAGGACAAGAGAAAACCAAGAAAAACACGACCCTTGAGAAGATGAGTCACAACACCGCAACCGGCCCCCGCGGAAGCGCGCTGGCCAATGATAGAGCAAGCGTGCAATGACGTTCTGATGACATCATCCTGCAGCCGTACCAGGCCGGACATGGCTCTCCTGTTCCTAGCGTTTTGCCGAGGAGGCTCGTTGTTCTTTGTGTCCTTCCTGTTCCCGCAAGAGATGGCGACCAAGGTGCGTTCATCGTTACCGTTCTCTACCAAGGTGGAAATAATCCGGCGCGTTGAACGCGGCGAGAAGAAGTCAGAAGTCGCCGCATCCTTCAAGATCGCCAGAAGCACGCTGAGTACGATTCTGAAAAACAAGCCAGCGATCCTGCAAAAGTCCCGAGATCGACCGAACGCCAACGGAAAGCGCATTCGGGCGCCTGCCTTTGACAGAGTGGAAAAGTCGCTGTACGCGTGGTTTTTGGATATTCGCGCTCGAAACCTTCCAGTTTCGGGCCCCATGTTACAGCAGAAAGCAAAAAACTTTGCCTTTTTGCTCGACGTTCAAGATTTTAGTGGCGGATCCGGATGGCTTCAACGGTTCAAGGAACGTTACGACATCGTCGGCAAAGTTGTCGCCGGCGAGAGTCGAGCAGTCGACAATGAAAGCGTCAAGAAGTGGATCGCCGAAAACTGGCCAGCAATTACGGAGCAGTACAGGCCCTGCGATATTTATAATACCGACGAAACCGCACTGTTTTGGCAGCTCCTACCCAGTCGGACCTTGGCACGACAAGGCGAGAAGTGCCATGGCGGCAAGCTGAACAAAGCTAGAATTACGGTGCTCCTCACCACGAATATGGACGGGAGCTCCAAGCTTACGCCACTGATCATCGGCAAGAGCAAGGCCCCTATGTGCCTACGGGGGTGTCGGTCTCTTCCAGTGAAATACACTTCAAATGGAAAGGCCTGGATGACAAGGGTGTTGTTCGAGGACTGGCTGCGCGACTGGGATGAGAAGTTGTCCGAGAGTGGCCGCAAGATTTGCCTCTTGCTCGACAATTGCTCCGCGCATCACTGTGGTGCCACGCTAAAAAACATTCAGCTTCGTTTCCTGCCCCCTAATGCGACATCAGTGCTGCAGCCGCTAGATCAAGGCATCATCCGTGCCTTCAAGCAAGGTTACAGGAAGCGTGTAGTGGAGCAGCTGCTCACCAAGCTGCGTGTGGGAAAAGAACTGAAGATTGATTTGTTGGGTGCTATTGAAATGCTTAGCCGTGCTTGGAGCGACATCGCGCCTAACACAATTAAGAATTGTTTTCGCCACGCGGGACTGTACCTGGATAACGACAGAGCAAGTACTGAAGAGGCAATCGAGGTTACGGATGACGACTTAAACGAGATGTGGAGAGACCTCGGCCGTCTTCCCGACGCGGTCCCGGATGGCGTGGAGCTGGAAGATTTTCTCGGAGTGGATGATGATGTCGCAGTGACCAGCAGTCCTTCAGACAACGAAATTGTCGCCGAGGTAGTGGCGGCTTCAGCAAACGACGACGACGACGAGGAGGCAGAGGACCCAGAGGCACCTTGCCCGACGCTTCACGAGGCGCTTGCAGCGACGGAAGTGCTCCGTCGCTACTGTTCCCAGCTTCAGGGAAGTGGACTAAGTCTGGTAAACCAGCTATCTCGCGTCGAGGACGAAATTTTGAAGGACGCAGTAAAAGCGAAGACGCAGGCAAAAATTACCAGCTTCTGTCGGTAATATCAAAAGAACAGGTAATAAAGACTTCTCTCTGTCGTAAGTGCCACGACTTTTTTTTCCTTCTCAATTTTACGGAATTATTGTGTTCATTTATTGTCTGTTACCTAGAAATTTTCGGGCTTTCTTAGATGATATGTTTCAATATTGAAATTTATTGATAGAAATATGAATACATATGTTCCATCATGAAAGCTGCCTCGCGATAACACGGCTCTGAGTGCCGGCGTGAGGCTCGCTACGCTTGGCAGCCTTCGCCGCTATTCCGCGCGGTTTCCTTTCATCTCTCTCGCTTTTGCCGTCCTCACGAAATAGCGATATTTGCTATAACGAACTACTTGATATATCGAACTAAAATGCGTGTCCGATGGAGTTCGTTATAAACGGGTTCGACTGTAGGAGAGGTTGCGCCTGCTCCCCGCCTTCCCTTGCCGGCGATGACGTGGAGTGTTTTCTCTCACCTATTCGTCTTTTGAACGGGGTGTTCCGGAGCGTGCTTCTCTCGCCGATGGCCCCCTACCCGTGTGCCTCCCTCTCGTGGAACAGAGCCTCACGCTGAAGGAGAAAGTGAGCACCCTGAAGTTCAAGGAGAAAACGGAGGAGCAGCTGTCGTACAAGAACCTGCTGCTGCTCATGGTGCGCCTGATCCACGCCGACCCCATGCTCATGCTCAACGTGAGTGCTTTAGTAAAGGTCGGGGAAGTGCTCAGTGTGAGTGTGCTCGTAACACCATTTTACTCATGACTATATAACCGCTCGTGGCACGCTTGGCCCGTGTGCAACATTCTTTCATCACAGACTGGGTCACACAATCATGTCAGACTGTCCTTCCCTTTACTTAGTCTGGGGTTATCCTGCTGAATAAACTGTCTATTCCCGTATCAGTATGTTTTCTTTTTCTTCAAGAAGCCATCAGTTCAAAACAGTCTTATGTTTCCTTGTCCTTTTCTTAGGACTTGGCGTCAATCAGTGTTAGTGCTTTCATTTGGCTCACTCATAACTGACAGCGCAGTAGTCCATGCACATTTTTATAAAAACGGTAAGCCCAAATACGTGTGGTAGGCTGTTCCTCCAGAACTACTAGTTTCTTGCCGGAGGGTGGCAAGGAGTTTAAATAAACAGTGTTATTTGTGGAAGTGAAAGGTTAAATTACAGTGGCTGAGAATTATGCATATTAACAGCGTATTAACAACATACCTTGCCTGCATACCCATTCCTACTGTACCGTAGTTGCTTGTTTTGTATATTTATTTACACTTCATTCTTCTCAGTGTTTTGCAAGAATTCTTTCTCTCTTTTGTGCATTGTACTCTCCTCATCTAACGTATCCTCGAAGTGTTTCCTTAGGCCGTGTTCCGAAAATTGACTCAACCTTTCTCCGGAATAACACTTTTGTACATTGGTACTCGAAGTGCTCCGTTGCTCCCTCTGTCACTGGCTTCACCTGTGTCCAGCATTGCTCCATCCGTGCTGTCACGTGACACAACTTGCTAAACTAATTGGGACTTGGAACGCAGTGCATGGAAGTGGAAGTCAGCCAATTGCTGAATGGGACTGTTTTTCCCGCCCGAACTGCTCGTCCAACGGCCCCCTTCCGCTTGCAGAGCCAGGGCAAGGCGGGCCACGAGGTGCAGAGCAGCACCCTGGAGCTGATCAACGGTCTGGTGTCCCTGGTGCACCAGCCGCCCAGCATGCAGGACCTGGCCCAGGAGGCCATGGAGTCCCTGCTGGTGTTACACCTGCCAGACCACATTGAGCGCTGGAACCCCGAGGCCCCCATTAACACCTTCTGGGACTTGAGCTCCCAGGCCCTGTTCTCCATCTCCCAGAAGCTCATCCAGCACCAGATCCTGAGTTACACGGATGTACTGCGCTGGCTGCGCGAGGTGTTGCGCTGCCGCAATGCTTTCCTCGCCCGGCACCGGGAGTATGCCAACCTGGGCTCCCACGTGGCCATCTGCAAGCAGGCACACATCAAACTAGAGGTCTCTCTTTCGCTCTCCCTTCTGGCTCGTAACGCGAAACATTCTTTGGCCACGTGGTCGGCATTTCGCGAAGCTGGGATAAAAGCGTGGCTGGGAAGCTCGACACTGATTGGTCGATGAGTGGGAGAGGAGGAGTGAGGTGTTCGATGTCGATTGGTTAATGGGGTGGTCATGGGACCAGAGGGGTCGACTAGGAGGAGCTGGGCCACCTGTGTGCACTGAGAAGAGAAGCTCGAGAGTATGGAAGGCTCTGGAAGGTTTTCAGGTTTACCAGCCCAATTAGCGGTAGTATCAATGTACATCAAGTGTACACATGGTACGCATTAAACTGTCTGACGAAGAGCGCCATGAATGTAAGTTTTTGGGCGTATGGAAACTCTGGGAGTATCGCTAAATGTTTGTGATGCTAGAATGTTTCACTTATGCAACACAATAGACCGATGTCACCAAGCGAACTGCGCAGGCGCGCGCATTCCAGAAGTGGTGCCGCCGCCATGCTACTTGTAGTCATCCCTTCCCGGCTAGATACGGCTGCGCGTACGTACATCATCATAGATTATCATTTGGCACGCCCCGGTATCACCTTGATTCTCTTGCATGTTTTTACTTCATAAGATTGTGTTGTTTGTGATGCCTTACTTTCCTCAGCAAGTGCAGAAAAGCAGTTTCAGTCGTCTTATCGCTTTAGAATCGCTTTGTCGTCTGCTTCGTCGTCGTCTGCTTCTTAGTCTTCGTGAGCGCGTAAGCCCACTGCCGTTCACAAGATAATCCCACTGCGTCCGCAAAAAAAAAAAAAAACAAAAAAAAAAAACAACGGCGTTACTACTTGAGCATTCCGACTTCTTGGATGTCTCAATTGCCTTGCAAACAAGCGAACATCTAGTGCAATAGCAAAGAACAAGAAAATTCGAGGGACAATCGGCTCGGTGTAGCACCACGGAACAGCATCAAATGTGGAGCTTGGTGGTGCTCAGTCTTGTGCATAACGTTTAATCAGTCATCAAGTAAGAGGAGCTAAATAGACTTTCTCGGTCAGCGATAGTATTCTAGAAGTTATTTCATTCCGGTTGACAGGCTGTGCGACAGAGTACAGATGAACAGCGGGAGAAGCCTGCGCACAAAGAACTGATCTACAGAAAGGCCATGCCTGACGCGCCGTAATAATTGGCATTTATCAAAAAGAAGCAACCATGCCACATACCTGAAAGCTTGGGGTGGAGATGATTTTTCGTGCACAGTTTCTGTTCAGTTTTATTTTGTTTGCGCAAGATCCGAACGCTAACAGTCGCCCGACGGGGGAAGCTTTTTTCTGCGGTCTCTCGACTGGTGCTCGTGCAGAATGGATCAGTAACACCAGCCTAATAGACCACCACAAAATGGATGAGGTTCGTTTGTTACATTTTTGGCGGTAAGTATGTGTTGCACTTCTAAATTGCATTATGTAATCCTTTCACGTTGGTATGAAAAAAAAAAAAAGAAATGAAGGCTGCTTCCGGAAAAAAGTTGTTTTATATCAAGTGGTGCATATCGGGAATCTCTACTCTTTTTTAGTGATTGTCCTGATCTTTTGAAGCACAGTTGTGCTTGAAACATGTTGTCGCAATAACAGTTATAACCACCAAAATACACCGAGTAAGAAGTGTATTAAAAACGGCCTCCGCAAAGCAGTGCGGAGGTCCTATTTAGATAGACCAACGAATAGGCCGCTACGGAGCAAGTGGTCAGAGAGATTCCAGCTTACGGAACACTTTGGCACGCTCTATGTCTCGTGCCCTGTAATCTTACATATTTTAGCTGACGTGCAATAATTGGATATAAATTATGAAGCAAATCGCAAAACAAATCGTAAAACGCTATTTTTCCTGCCGCTCTGTCCGGCTCTGTCGACCTTTCTTTGCCATGCTTCTTTCTTGCGGGAAGACATAATATCCGAGGCCTTTTTGCCTGGTGCTGTTATTATAGCTCCGTGGCATACATGTGAAGCCACCGATTGAAAACCATGATTCAACACCTGGCTAAAAGTCTCGTGCTCACTCGAAAATTTCCAAACGCCGGGCGTACAATGCGCGCGGACGCGGCTGGAAAACTGGGGAGAACTACAGCTGCCAGAATGCACCGCTGCAGCGGTGGCGTCGCGCAACTCCTCGTGAGATCGGTCTATTGCCTAGCAATTTGCCATAAATTTTTCACCTCGAGGGGTTGTTCCGAGGGTTTCCGAAAGCATTGGGTTCTCATGGGTGCGTGTTTTGCGAGACACATTCGAACGTGCCCTCTTGTATTTCCAATAATCGCTTTACGGCGGATTCGCATTTCGGTTTTTTGCACCGTCCCCACCGGCTGTTTGTACTCTCGTAACTTTGTTGGCTTATTGACTTTTTATCTAATTTCAAGCCACGCAGCCTTGAAGAAGTGTTTTGATCTTCATTGTTGCGCAAGTGTAGGCATTGGCCGTACCTAACCGACTAATGTCCAACGAAAACTTTACTGACCGTTGCGATGTGCATAAGTGCTAGCCTCGGTGCTCTTATTACACCCAAGTCGTGCTACCAAGCGAGTTTAAGCAAAGGGCGAGCTCTATTCCTTACCGCCAGTCTCACTTTTAGATTTCACGAAATGTGTTTTTTTGTGCATATTTTTGATTCATCGCCAAGAAACCCAATGCACCACTACCGGTATCTTGCACCTTGAAAGTGTTAGGGACATTTTTTGAAATACAACCTCGTACAACAACAAAGCCAGGTTGTGTCCTTTGAGATCCTTGTGGTGGCCCCGTGGACATGCGCAGGTGGTGTTCTTCATGTACCTGTGGAGCATTGATATAGACGCGGTGCTGGTTGCCATGTCGTGCTTCGCGCTGCTGTGCGAGGAGGCGGACATCCGCTGTGGCCAGGATGACCTCACCGTCACCTACCTGTTGCCAAACTACCACGTTTACCAGGAGCTGGCCACTGCCAGCACTGTGCTCACCACAGGTTAGTGCCCTCTTGACCGGCTGACGGCACAGTCGAAAGTGTTTATTTTTGTTTGTGACATGGTGGAGAGTGGACTAGGGTGTGTTCAGCTGAAGCTTGGGCATTTCTCACTTGGCAGTCACAGTAGCAGTGACGTGATTGCTGCGCCATTTGTGCCAAACTGTGCGCGAAGGGCTTTCCCCTCTATATCCTGCTACGTCCTGCTACATTTAGCCCAAATGTGAGGAACTTGCGCCAATGCTTTGGCGAAACTCGATTTCACTTTATTAATACTGAGAATATAACGGATCGGGCAGTGCTACATGTCCGGATCGTTATGGTTGGCTTGTGCGAATGTTCAGAACGTTTGATTTAAGCTGCAAAGAGCATGCTATCCTATTTAATCTCTCTGTCAGTGTCAAACACTGACAGTACTCTGAACTTTCGCAGTATCTCTTACGTTCATAGTCTGCTCTGGTGTGTAAGTTAGCTTTGCTGAGTGCAATTCTCACTGTGCTCTTGTGCACAGCAGTGAAGCAGCATCCGCGAAGTATAAGCATAGCGATTTCGCTTATCTTGCTTTGCCGCAGTGCGTCTGAGTCCAAAAGAAAAGCATTCCCCCTAAGCAGGACGTTAAACACGCAAGCGTCGGGTATATGTGTTAGAAAAAGGAAGTTTGTGGGTGGTAATGTAACAGCTTTTAGTTGCAGTAAAAGTTTCTGAATGAAACTGCGGCTATTATTTATGATGAACTGTGGTATTCTGGCGATATCTTTTTAAAATTCAGGATTTAGCGGGGGCGGTCCCAAGAAAATTTATATGAACTGCTCTATAGGTTTATTTTTATTTGAAATCTGTTGTTTAGTTGTTGCCTTTATATATGTTTTATCCATTCGAGGTATAGTCAATAGAATATATTAATACTAAATTAGACGAAGTAGTAGAAGGAAGCTTGGAAATAATCTTAATGACTTTGGCTGGATTGTTTTAAGAAGGCAAACTTATCTTTCACGTGCCAATCTCTGTTATTATGAGGTTCTATATACAAAATGTAATTAATTTCATAATTTATTGACAAGTATTTGTTTTAAAAATTAAATTCAAAAGTTTTATGTTATTACAACCTTTAGAACTTGAAGAAAACGTCAAGTTGCGTGCTGGCTATTATTTTAACATTATATTAGTGGAATATATTATTTGGTTTACATTTTATTTCATAAAAAAAAATAATAATAATAAAATGATCATTCACAGTAGTTCATACTGTCCTTCATCGGTCAGCGCCTTGTTGCCATGCCTAGTGCTTCTATGTTGTGTAACTAAACAGCTAGTTGTGTGTTTTAGGAAATCAAACCTGCCGTTGCACAGAACTGCGAAGGCAAAGCATGCATGTTTTTAGTTGGATAGGCTAACACACTAATCTTAGCATATAATATTCACAGTGGTAAGAATAAAATATGAAGTGTGTGCTCGTGCTCCAAAAGCACATTTTGCTGCTTCATAATGGACTTTTGGCTGCTCCAAAAGCTGCTACAAAATGACTCGGGTCAATCACATCACTGCAGTAGGGAAAGCTTTGGGAACACGAGTTTGGCAAACTCCAGAGAACTTGTGAAACATCCGATTTTATGTAACAGGAGCATGAATAGTTGGGGCAATGCCAATGAAGTTTGGCTTCTAAGAAACCTTTGCAACTGCTTGGGCGCATCTCGGGCAAGCTGCTTATAGCATGCAAGCGTCTTTAATGGAAGGGGAAAGTTTTTATAACATGTGACATAAATGGGTTAGCTGTTTTTGACATACCGATTCAGATAATAGGCTTTCGTTTGCACAGCTATGCTGTTATACTGCCTTGCGCAACACCTGAAGTTTGGCATTGCAAGAACATGCAGCAATTTCTTTGGAGTGTTCAGTGGTTCTGTTGAGAATACTACAGTATAGACCACTTACAACGTAACCGCTTATAGTGCAGGACCGGGTATAACGCGGTTTTTTTAAACCACCGGTTCGCCTCCCATAGAACTCCATGTAATTACATACCGCTTAAAACGCAGGCGCGCGAAGGGAAATACCGGTTATAGTGCGGTTTCTGGCACAGCCCGCCGACCGCGCCGACGACCGGAGCAGCGAGCACGCTTCCCTGTGCGACACTAAATAACTGCGCTGACGGCGCGAGCCGCAAGCGTTGCGCAAGCGGCACTCGCGGGGCAAGGAGGTTGCTCGAAGAAGCGGGAGAAGCGAAGAGAGAGGTTTCAGTTGCCCTAGCGACGGAGGGATGCACGCACGTGTCGTTCACGTGCGTGCGTGAACGACGACCGCAACGACAGACCAATCGCAGGTCGAGGAGAAGTGTTCGCGCGCGTTGCATGCACCACTATTGGCCCTCTCCTCCCCCCCCCCACCATCTTTCACAACGCTTAGAAGAAGAAGAAGCATGCCGGTCGCGGGCCGGCTGCTGGTTGTGATCAACGTTGTGATCGTCGTCGTAGACGGCGTTCATCTCATCGTTCCGCGTAAAAGCGCTATCCTTGACTGAATTTTCGTTGTGTGTCGCTATGATAACCCAGCACGTACTAGAAGGGAAGATCCACCTACTCGAGCGGCGATGTCGTGGCGGCGCTCTCAAGACGGCAGAAACAGAAACGCCCGTGTCGTCGTGTTTGTTTACTTCGACTACAGTGGTGATTTCTAAGCATTTGTGTCCTCGAACATTGCCCGGATTTCTTATTTGGCGCATTTCATGCGTGTGCTCAAGTTCAAGGTATTACTGGCGCGTACCGTATGAAGGATGCGAATTTTCACGCGTTTTCATCTCCGGAGAAAAGTGATTAGGGTTAGCAATCCTGAACGCTCGCAACGTCCGTCCGCAACCCGCGACGCCTCTAAAAGGCTGCGCCAGGCAAAAGCCGCTCATTTCTTTCAAAATGTGTGACACACTTGAGAGAGAAGTATGGTGAAATAAAGACTTTCCTCAAACTAAGCTTTATTTTTCATCTAACATAAAATAAATTCTTTTACAAAGGTAGGTTGTCTCATGGCATGTATTTTGGCCTGAAAAATTGATGCTTTGGTTATAACGCGGTACCGCTTATAGTGCGGATTTTCGCGACTCCCGCGACATACGTTATAGGCGGTCTACACTGTATTTGGTGTTGCTGCTGAGAAAGCTGAAGGGTTTTGGTAAGAGTACCCAGTAAGTCGTGAGGACATTCAGTTTCCCTTTCGAGAATGCTCAGCAGTCCTACTGAGAACTGTCAGCTGTTGCGCTCTCTGCATGAATGAAGAAGGGACGACCTTGTGGTAGTTCTTCAGTGCTGACAGGGTGTGTGCCTGCACTTCCCACAGGGAGGGCTGTACTTCAGAAACGGATCATGGCTCTACTCAGGAAGATTGAGCACTGCACTCAAGGCTGCTCTCAGGTGAGTCGTTTCTTGAACACTTGCAGTCCTTCCACAATTAAACTTTGTATCCGTCACTTGCGCTCTGAAACCACAGGACTATGTGTTGTGCTCTAGTCTCGGCTTCACGACATTCTTCTGCTTTTACAAAAGCCCGACAGGAGTGTTGAACCGTTGCTAGACTACGCTGTGCAAACCCTTCTAAACGGTCTTTAAGGGGGGACACTACCCAGACAAGTCAGCTTCTATACCACTTGCCTGATTTCAATCAATTTTGCAGTGGAAGTTTATACGAGTGGCAAGACAATCCCTGCCAAATTTTATCGACCTATGTCAATTTTGAAACTTGTTACAAATGTAACAATATGTAAGTTAGTGTGTTCGCTTAGAAAAACTATCATTTTAAAATAAAATAAAAATTTGTGATTTGTAGGTGTAATATAGTCATAGGAATACCCATAGCACATACCCAGCTAGTTATTTTGCTATATTACATTGTTCTTTGTAAGTATAACGCCATAAGAAGATAAACATTTTTTTTTTCATGTCTGCTCTTTTTTACAAATGTAGTTTTTTTAGCATGAAAGAATGTTAAAGTGGAAAAACTAACCAGCCAGGCATGTTCCTCACAAAATTCTGTCACAGAAAACCAAGAATAATTCTCTATTGCATAATAGGAAAACAATAGTTTTCCTAAAGTAAATTTTATGCTGAAAGGTGGAACGGAGAAGTATGCATTCAAAGTGCTCCAACCCCTACCTTTTCTTTGGATCGGTGGACCGAAAGTAATTTATAATCAATTAACTATGCAGTGTAAACTAATGAAACTTTCTGGGGATACCCTCCAGACGTTGGCAGATAATAAATGTGGCAGTTTTTCAAAATCAACTTTTTTTTTTTGCAAAAATTGTTTTTCTGCAAAAGAGTCCTTTGAAACACCCTTTGATAAGGACGTTTCGCCTTTATCAAAGGGCGAAACGTGTCTGGGAGTATGCACTCTTATGCATTGCATTGTTCACTCCTTGTTTTTTTTATTCTTGAAACAAATGAAAAAACAGACATGCAAGACAAGGGATGGCACAGGTGCTTGTCTTATACATTTATTCTCTTGTTTGTTTCATGACTCCTATTAACATGCTCGTCAGTTCCTCTGTCTTGATTCCTCCGTGTCAAATTTGACTGTATGCCTTACTTCACGGCTCGACGATTAGGTTGCGGTACTTCATCGGCTTGTCCGCGGCCTTCTCTTTTGTGTTGGGCCAAGGTTGTGTGGCTCTCTCTCGCCGTAATGTGGCCTGGCATCACACGTATATCCCCGTGCAGGCGTGGGAGGACACTTTCATGAACTGGGACGTGGTGACCAAGCTGCTGGTGAGCTACCCCAAATCGAAGCTGGAGGAGGGCCAGATCTGCGAGTCCCTGCATCGCACCATCGGCAAGCGCAGGGCGTCCCACCAGAGCACCGATCACGAGTTGGAGGTGGAAGCCATCTCTCTCCCTCTCCTTCATGGTCCCTCCCTCCCACTCTCTCTTTTTCTCTCCCTATATCTCTATACTTTTCTGTTTGCATGTAGTAGCCCTCCCTTGTGGTTACAATAACTAGAGGAAGCAAAGGGGTGAAATGTACAAAGCGTCATAGGGACGCAAGACGCACAGCAGGGCTCTCCTTTTTTTAAGCGACAGGCACGCTACACTCGAGAGAACATCCCGTGGAATAGATCTCCACCTATATTATAACTCGTAAGGGCAGTCTGAGAACATTCTATTGCCGGTTAGCAAATGTTGTTTGATGTCACTCACTTGTTCCCAGTTTAAAAATCAGTCCAGTTGGAGCTGGATTACGAAACTAGTCCCACCTGGATATCCCGCTGGAAGTGTGTCTTAATCCAGCTGGATGCAAAGGGACTCAGTTGGGACCATTTCCGTAATCCAGCTCTAACTGGACTGATTTTTACCTGGAAGAAGACATACAGGCAAAAAAAAAAAAAAAAGTGAATATGTGTTACCGTAACAAGCGCTCAGTGCTGCACCAAGTACATGAGGTGTTATGTTTATAATTTTGTAAAACTAGGCCTTCAGGCACACTTTAAATCACATTTATTACTCTTAGTAGCAGGATGGATCATAGCCGATGCCAGGGGACATCTGCCTAGACGAGGAGCAAACATAGTTGCGGATAAAAGGACGTGCCACACGCCGGTATCGGCTCGCATCACCCCAGTGGCAACTGCGCAGACGACCGGACCAGGGAGACCTTTGATTCTTGGGCCCCAACAGTAAAGTAACGTCGAGTTTCTTTCGTTGTCATTCGCCGCAACTGCTACAATGACACGAGCCGAAACTTGCGCGTTGCGTGCCACTCTGGTCGAAGATTTTCGCTGCCGTTCCCTCGCAGGCAGCGGACATAGGTTAGCATACGCGGTGGTTGCGTGGTGTGCCGTTTCGGCCGACGGAGGCAGGGAGGGAGGAGTAACGTGTTTTCCTCCCCCGCAGCTTCCCTACACCTGCCGCCGCGTCTTGATTAGCCTGGAGGTAATTGTCCCCTTCTCCAGGGCAGACGAGTGACGTGTGACTTTGACCTCGGCCCCCTCTTACCCGCAGGACCAGCTCAACGAATGGGCCAACATGACTGGCTTCCTCTGCGCCCTGGGCGGTGTCTGCCTCCAGAGGAAGTCCTCCTCCAGGCCCAGGTGGGGCTCACTCTCGGGGCAGTTGGGCGTAGTGTCGGGGGAGCGGCTGAGGAAAGCTTCCCTGGCCAATCGGTCTAGTTGCAGTAGAGCAGTGCAAAGACCTACAGACTTCGTTAAAAGGAAACAAGCCTAAAATGCAAATATAAAAAAAAAAAGAAAGATTTTTTTGGGTTTTTTAGTTTTAGAAATTAATTATATACCCTTACACCAAATTTCATAACCATGTGCCAAATACGGTCATACCTCGATGTAACTAAGTCGCTGAAATTCTGAATTTACTTCGTCACATTGAAATTTCGCTACATAGAAATTCGAGGCTAACATTAAAGAAAGTCTCCACAAATGTTTCTCGGGTGCACAAAACTCACCGAGGACGACTCTATTTCAATTGAAAGTAGTCCGTCACCTTTTCCTGGGCCACTCTTGGCATTATTATTGGCATCACACAACGTTCGCATAGCCAGACGGCCTGCATCGCGTCTTCGTCTTGCTGTGTGATTGCAACCGCCTCAAGACATTGATCGCGTCCACCACCTGACGGTTACTGGGCACATAGCAAGTACCTTGCTCATCAGGCTCGATGTCGTCCCCGTCTTGCGAGTTCCCACGAACATCGCTAGCTACCGCCTCGTCGGTCACCTCCTCCGTCGCAATGGCAGCAGAGTCGGCGTATAGAAAGTCGTCGAGGTCGACGTTGTCAGGGGTGACTTCATCGCCTTCAAGGCTCCATCGCCCAGGAAAATGAGAAACGCACGCTTTTAGTGAGGTCTCGAAACAAACTACTTAGCACGAACGAGCCGACGGACGAAACAACGGCGGCTCTGGTGTCCTCTTGTAGCCATTCTGTACACCACACTTACCAGATTCGGCCGTTTCACCCTTTGCGCTTTATTGGGGGCCCATTTCAGCGCATGGGCTTCCCAAAATCTCCTTTGGGACCCAAAAGTTTGTGACAAATTGCCCATGAAATTTCGTTACATCGAAATTTCGGCAAACGGGACTTCGTTACATAGAGGTCAAAAATGCATGGCGTGCATACAATTGCGGTTAGAAAAAGTTATGTACTTCGTTACATCGGGGGTTTTGTTGCATAGAAGTTTGTTACATCGAGGTTTGACTGTAGTTACATTGATATAAAATATTTCCAACATATTGTGAGGCTGTAACAAAGTAAAGGAGTTCAATGTTTGAATGCATTTTTCTCAATTCCACTTTTTGCTGCAAATTTCGTACGAAGGAATCTTTTTTTAGGAGGTAAAAGTATCCTGATACCACAATCAAGATGTTTCTGAACTGAAATGTACTGGAGAATCGGGCTGTCTGCTTTATTTTGTTTTAAGTTAAAGTCCTTCCTAAGAAAAAAACTGTTTTCATAAATTGACATAGGGCAGATATGCATCTCATATTTTGAGGTAGTGAGTCTTCCTGAAATATTTACATTTGAGTTTTAAAAACTAGACAGCCCGAAGTCCCACATCTCCCACTTTATATTCGAGCAATCGGAATGGTGCTTAATAGGTTCATTTGCATATCATAGGTTTCTCAACGAACAATGACACATCTTCTTATGCAGTTGCGTAAAATTGTTCTAAAGAGCTGAACGTGTGCACACTACTCCTTATGTTAAATCTGTCCTGCAAATTTCCTACCGGTCGCTTGAGTAGTCCAGAAGTTGAATCTCTAGCCAGTGTCTCCCCCCCAACATTAAAAGCTTGTTTGCACACTTGCAACAGCTTACGGCCGAGTGTCTCATGATCTCTTACGGCAAGAGCACACCGGCGCCGCCTGTGGGGCAGTTGTGGAATGTTCACAGTTCCCGCAAATTTTCTGCGTTTTTTGCGTATCATGCTTTTTGTGTTGGCTCGTTAAACTTTTGACAATGTTATGAACGATTATTTCTTCTAGATGGTACATACAAATTTGATCTCTCATACACTGCAAAACCTTCGCTCGAGTGAAATGCGGTTACAGAGCCTCCTCGTAGGTGGCACCAGTGTGCCAGCGTGTTCTCTCGTCGTACAAGATCCCTAGAACTCGGTCGTAAGCAAACGCAAGTGCGTGAATGGGCCTTGATGCGCACACTCAGATAGGGTAAATCAAAGCTTGAACTGAGGGAACAGATAATTTAGTGGTAGAACTATAGAGAGAGTTAGGGGAATGAGGAACCCCCGTAATTACTCCGTAGAACCCAGTTTGAGAACCAATTGCTTGAAGTGGCATTCAAACGAGAGAAAAATCTGACGGATTTTTCCACAGCGAGCATCATGAGGTGAAAACGTTGCCCTTTTGCGATGCAGCGTGGTGACATCAGCCCCGCTGCATAGGGGTTAAGCGGAATGCTCAGGCTGAACCAGTTTGGGGGCGGACAAATTTGCCTTTAAGGACGCTTTGTCCAAAAACACTAAACCCAGGGAGAAAGAAATTTTTTTTCTACCTAATTAGCGCAGGCCTAATTGATAATAAAAATTCGTCAGAAACAAAATTTTTTTTTGCTCAATATTTATGTTACAACACAAATTTTTCGATTTGTATGCGAAACCAAAATTGTATTCCTGTGGGATGATGATGATGGCCTTCGTACCCACCTAGTGTGCTAACCGAGTTCGCTGGATGCTTCAGAGTAACGACACTTCAGCCATCTTGGTGCTTAAGATTATGGTTGCCAGTTATCTAAAGATGTATCTGAAATCGTAGGAAACGCTTTTCCGTCCTTCAGAAATGTTAAAACAGTTTGCGACAGAGCAAAATGATATCACCTGAGCTTCCTAGCACCGCATGTAAAGCTGAGGAAGTCGCATTTTTGAATTGTGGCGATCGACAGTTGCGCCTGCTCTGCACTAAGCACCAAGATGGCGGCGCCCGCTAGCAAATCAGGGAACGGAATGCCAATACACTAAGCTTTGCTCATTTACTGTCTCTATGCTGGACCTCAGAGTGCAGACTACCTGATTTCAAACACTATCATCATCATCTCACAGGGATACAATTTCGGTTTCTCTTGAAAATCGAAAAATTTTAATAGCATAAATATTGGGTAAAATTTTTTTTTTTTTTTTTGAATCTTTGTTTTGAGACATGCATGTCCTAATTAGGTAGAAAGCATTTTTTTCCCCCCCTAGGTTCCGTGTTTTTTTTTAAAAGCTTTGGCGTTAATTTGTCTGTAGTAATGTCAAGACTGGAAGCTGGTAACACCAACATCCCTCCCACCTGCACTTCATTTGTGTGAACCACAAAACCGAAAAGGAGTTGCTCCCGCTGCTGATGTCGCGCTCATCTGTCTACAGATTTCTCCTCTGTGTCAATATACCGCTTTAGGATGTGCTCCTTCTGCACTTCTCGCTCGATTCACAGAAACTGGGAGGGAAGGGGGCAAGTCTTCCTGTGCCATGTGCACATTGCCACTCTGCAGATTAGTGGTTGCCAACCATATAACGTGCGTGTCTGTGCAAGTGATTCTGCAGCTGTTCGGTCCCACCACGTACCACCTGCGTGACTTTTGCCCAGGTCCTCCCTGTACGCATACAGCGTGCCTCACTCGGCACTGTCCCTGGATTCGAGGAAAGGTGGCATGCTGACACCGGGACAAGACATCCAGTTTTGCCCCGTCACTCAGTGAGTGTTTGAGGGGTGCTTAGTTTAGTTTCAGTCACTCGTCTGGTTTCAGTCCTCCGAAAAGGCATCCTAGTGTAACTTCTTGTGGTAAACGAACCTGATTTTGTCTTTTAAGGGTCAGTGCTGCTTCTAGAGCTTTTTCTAATATATAGCTTGTGATCCAATTCAAACAAAATTGATGTAGCTCATCTGCCTTCACAATCTGACAGCAAATGTGTACCTTGTTTTTATGTACCCTAGTTAGTTTTGTTAATGTTAAAACTTACATTTGCAAAGATTCTGGGAAGGATTACGACAGATTGAAATACTGAAATCAGAAAAACTTATCTCAATAAACTGAAAGGCCTGTGGAATCCGATAAGCTATAAATGAAAGTTCTAGGATGATTTGTATGGTTTTGATTACACTTGGGAATTTTTTAGTTTTTAAAGTATTTGTTGCAGAAAACAAAAAAACGCATCTAAAAAAAAAAAAAAAAAAAACTGATGTCATATTTAACATATTATACCCCTTATTGCATAGCTCACATATACACCTACCAAAGAAAGGAAAAATTATGAAGATTGAATAAATGCAAGTGGAGATATGGCTTCCATAAAATAGCAAAATGTGTAAATTGTTCATTCTGAAATATAACAACAAAAAACATGTTCAGACCCGTTTTCCAATGTTTCAAAGACAATACTTTAAGGTAAAAGAGACTTAATTCACAAAAATACCTCAGGACAAGATAAGTGCCTGTCAGTCCTCAAAAACATAATTAAAAAAAAAAGTGTTTGTTCTTACTATTTTTTGTCTCAAAGAGCAGTGTCTCCCCTTAAAGGGCCACTAAAAAGGATTCTGCGATCGTCTGTTTTTGGTCATAACTGATTCTACGGGCCTAAAAATTTATAAATTACAATCACGTGATACCGATTTTCCTATTTAAAACGTGATGAAAAATTGGGATACACCACTTTCTGAGCGGATTTTTACGCTTGGGAAAGGCGGGACATACCCCAGCAGCGGTGTCAGCGCAATAACAATGGGCGCTCATCAACCTATCGCAAGCCACCTCTCTGAGAGGTGGCTTGCGATTGAGAAATGGCTTCTGATTGGCCGACGAGTACCCATCGTCACCACGCTGACACTGCTGCTGGTGCATGCCCTGCCCTCCCTGAATGGAAAATTCCGCTCATAAAGGGGTGTGTCTCGACCTTTTGTTACGTTTTTAATAAAGAGATCCACGTCACTTGATAGTGATTTTTGAATTTTTAGGATGCTTAGGATCTGTGGGATCAGTAAAACCAAGAGCAGATTGCAGAATCCTCTTTAGTGCCCTTTTAAGGGCTTTTTCTAGACTAGAGACAAGAAAACTTTCTGTTCAGCTAGTCCCTCGCTGAACCACTATATGTGTATCACTGAATCTGAAAAGTTGATCATAGCTGGATTTATCTACTGGGAGCTGAAAGCCACATATTTTCGCTTGTACACTCTCTGAAGGGGGCCACAATAGCTGAAAAAGAAGATAGTTAATGAAAGGAGCAATCAACAATGAGATAGCAAGATAAAAGGGATTTCATAACTTATTTTTTTGTGCGACTTAATTTTTACAATCAGCTTTCTCAGTCGTTTGTTAGGTCCCCCACGTCTAATAATCCAAATAAGTTGGAACCAAGCCTAATTTCTACTTGTTAAATTAAATTAAGACTAAATATTTTTAAAGGGATACGGAAATGAAAATCGAATTGTATCTCTCACGTTGAGAAATAAGTTATCAACAATATCTGCTAATGACATTCACACGTTCATATTTTGAACGGATGGTTATTTTTATTGTTCCAAACGGCCAATTCCAGCAAGCGCTCGAAGAGCAGCCACTTGAGAGCGCGTTGCGTCACGGATGACTCGGCGCATTTCTGGCGCCGATTTTTTCAGCATGGTTAAGGCTGCGGGGAGGCTGGCATACTAGTTATGGGCTTTTCCACTCTGGGGTGTCAACGCGTTGCTACCTAGCCGTTCAAGATGCCCGAGGACCGGTTGGGCAATGCTAGCGAAGGTGAAGAAGTAACTCACCTGCGCTCCAAATTTCACTGACCTCCACTTCTTCTCAGTCCCATTCCGTCTCCCCACAGGAGTTGAATAGACGCAGGAGAAAAGGGAAATCCAGTTCGGCCAAATATGACAGGAGGCATGCGCATGCAGCTTGCTGCCGCACTTCCGGAGAGTGGCGTTGCCTTTATAGGAACGTGGGCGTAAAAACAGTCAAAGTAGCTTTGGAAACACCCATTAGGTGCATTTTACTAATTGGTTGATTAATTTTAAATAAAGTTTTGGTCTCTTTTTGAACAAGTAATTGGTGTCTGTGGTGCTGCCAGAACATAGGTGACTTTTGGACAGTAAAATAGCTGCTAGAATTTCGTTTCGGTACCCATTTAGTGCCTCCATTTCATCCTAAGCTTAGGAACATGTTGAAATCAATGGCACGCCACACTGGATGAATGCGCTGTCTGACGGTGTTCCCCGTGCACACATGAACACGACCCCCGTGAGAAGTAACATGCTGCCCTGCCCGCTGCCCAGGTTTGTGGGCCAGCTGCTTCGTCTGCTGGTGTGCCACAACGAGAAGTTTGGCACCCAGATCCAGAAGCACGTCAAAGACCTGGTGGCCCACGAGATGAGCCCCACCCTCTACCCGATCCTCTTTGACCAGATCAAGACCATCGTGGAGAAGTTCTTCGACCCTCAGGGCCAGGTTAGCCGGAGCCCTGCTCCTCCTCTTCCTGGGGTACCGAGAGAACGGTGCATCAAGCGTACTGGGACACCTCTTTCGTAAATTAATTCGTAAGAATCATAAACTTTACTAGAGCCGAGTTCCTTTGTTGGATTTTCCCGGGAACCGAAAAATGAAACATATTGTTTCAAAATCATATTGTCCAAAACAGGCTTCCAAAGGTCATAAAATAGGCATTCATACCCGGTGAGAAGCTTGCTTAAATCCTGGAGGCAGTGCAATACTGCCGATCCCAGAGGTATTGCACTGCTTTCTCGTGACTAATATGGTCTGAAACTCTGTGAGCTGTCATATGATAACAGAATTTTCGACTGATCTGAAATAGCATTTGTGAAAGAGACAGAGCCTGGCAACTTTGCGGTGTCGTGACTCAAGACTCGGGAGATCAGCATGAGATTTGAGTTCGATGACACTGGTGTGGTAAGAGTAATCGGAAAAGATAAATGTAGCTGCACGATTTTGAACGAATTTAAGTGATTTAGAGAGAGATCCGAGTCTGAGAGTTTGAGTGAGTGAGATTTTGAGTAAGTATGGGAGTTTGAGCTCATGAGTTTGAGTGAGTTTTTGAGTTTGATTGAATGGTAGTGAGACATTAAAGGTAAGTGCCTGCGGCTGTCAGGGGGATGGTGAGTTGTAGCTTCTAGTTTGTTTCTAGTCATTATTGTAAAAGTGCTGGAACAGAGATTTTTGGTTATGGGATGGTTGTGCGTTTGCACAACCTAAAATGTCGAACCCTTGTGTTGTCTGCCTGTACTGTCATTGCAAGCTTACTTTAACTTTGCTTGTAACTTTGGTACAAGTGTTCTGAGCACGGTCTAGATTAGGGCCACCATTACTGTCCTCCCCGTGTTTCATGGGCCACTGAAATTCATATCAACAAATTCACACAAAGCCTACAAGATGAGAAGGGCACTCGAGTGTTTAGTCTCCAGTGTGGCCATTAGTAACAAACTAAAGTGGCCGGATAAAAAGAAACAAAAAGTGAGGCATAGTTATGGCTGCATCCATGCACACCCACCTGAAAAAAATTGAATGCTAGCATTTGAATTACAAGTATACTAAGAGTACTGAGAGTAAACTAGTATAGTAAGACTACTGAGAGTATAATAAATATCTCACTTTTTTATCGATTGATTTATGGATCTATAGGGAGCACAGCAAATTAATAAAGTTTGATATATTGAAAAAGCCAAACATTGGTTGACCCAGAACGCAACAAAGGAGTGCTGTTTGTTGTGTTTCTGCAATAATCGTCTTTGTGTTTGCTGTGTGGCTCAATCAGGTTAGTTAGAAGCTATGATATTCTGTATGGCTGAGGCATCGTTTTTGTTGTTGGGATCTCTCTCTGTGGCAGGTGACGGTGATTGAGACCAACACGCAATTCATAGAGCACATCATCTTCATCATGAAGAGCGTCCTGGAGAACAAGGTGGACCACACCACCGAGCACCTAGGGGTCACCAGCATTGAGGCCATGATGCTTATCATCGTCAGGTGAGGCATGGAACATGCCTGTTTTGTCCTTTCACGCCAGTGATTTCCCTGCTTCTTTGAGGTTTGCATGTTTGTTTGTGCAGTAAGACTGGATCTGAGGAAGAAGAGTTGCAACTTTTGGCAGTGCTATTCGTAGCTCATACGGTAACTAGTAACGCGATACATTCACCGTGCTGGATTAGCCGGGACGGTTTGCAGCATGTACGCTGCGGTCCATTGAAAGGTGAGACAGAGTGCTATAGAAGTCCCAATCCTTTGCCCCCCCCCCCCCCCTAGCCACCTCGGTAGCTTTGAAGCAAAGCACCGACCGATGGATCCCAAGTTAGCGGGTTCGCATTTCGGCTGTGGTGCCTGCAATTCAACGGAGGTTCATTAGGCTAAAGGTTCTATGTAACCGAGATCCCGGTTGTATGTTGCAAGATCCCCGGGCAGTTAAAATGAATCCCGAGTCCTCTGCAGGGGCCTGCCAGATGTTCTTTGTTGGTTTGGCAAGTAAAGCCAGTACCAACTAGAAGACAAGGTCTGTGCCCTTCCCCTCCCAAACGTCATCTTTAGTGGACATGGAGGTAGGAAGCTTCTGGAGGGGACATAGCGGATCCACGCAGTGCCGCCTAGCTCGTGTCAGCGTCGCTACCACCACGTGTTGCGGCATCTCGGAACAAGCGCGACTCTAGCACATGGCATACTTTTGTAGAGCGTCAGCATGTTTGCCACTAGGGGGCAGGTTGGGGATAGAGTAACGACGACACCATGCGCAGGCTTCGTCTCCTGGGCAGCATTTCTAAAACCCCCAAATTTGACCTTGGTTGACCTTTCACGGCAGGTACGTGCGGCACTTGGACACCACAGTGCACGCACTGCACATCAAGACGAAGCTATGCCAGCTGGTGGAGGCCACGATGGCCCGGCGGGACGACCTGGCCTTTCGGCAGGAGATGAAGTTCCGCAACAAGCTGGTGGAGTACCTGACGGACTGGGTGATGGGCAACAGCCATCAGATGGCGCCCCCCGGCTGCGGGGACGTGACGGCCATCACCCGGGACCTGGACCAGGCCTGCATGCAGGCGGTGGCGGCCCTGCTGCTGGGCCTGCCCCTGCAGCCCGAGGAGAGCGACCGGGGGGACCTCATGGAGGCCAAGTCGCAGCTCTTCCTCAAGTACTTCTCACTCTTCATGAACCTGCTCAACGAGTGCAGCGAGGCGGCCCCCGAGGAGAAGGACCGCCACCGGCTCCAGTCCTCCAAGCTCGGGGAGCTGCGCACCTGCACCATCCAGGCCATGTCCAACCTGCTCAGCGCCAACATAGACTCGGGGCTCATGCACTCCATCGGTAAGCGAGGGCCTTCCCCCTGGCGGGATGCGCCTTGTTTCAGCGCGACTGGGCAAAAGACAGAAGCCGCAGCTCCAGCGAGCGAATCAGAGCGTCGGAACGGGGCACGCGATGACGTACAGTTGCGAGCATGCTCCTCCAGTGGAGAGCTGTCATGCGCTTTGTTTTGTCGCTCTAATAGACCATATTTAGAAGACACCAGCTGAACAAACCAAACTCTTTCCCGTGGCTAATAGACCAGTTGCAAAAGTCCCAAATGGCCGCACACTGAACAAGCAATGAATTATAAAGAAGATCCCGTATGCTCCTCCTTATATAACCCCATGACGCTGAAAAGAGCAAGGAAGAGGAACAGTAGCGCTGTTGAGCGTTTGCCCTTGCCCGTTCGCCTGCGTTGCCTCTGTTGCCCCTAAAGTCGCTGCTGTTGTCTTCTACAGCCTGTTCTAAGCGGCCAGTTCCTAGGATCCCTTTTGGTGCAACTTAAAGGGGCAATGCAACGATTTTATAATTAAAAGAATTTGCATCTCGTCATTTTTACGTTGTTTATCGTGTCCCGGAGGATAAAGAAAACATCTCCTTCATTAAAAATGTCGCGATTCCGCTGCATAATCGCAAAGCAAAAGTCGAGCTTTTTTCCCCACCTGCAGCCCCAAGTGGCAGCCGATGGAACTGCGGCGAAAAGATTATGTGACCTCGCTCGGCTCTAAGCTGCAGCACAACGCCCGCTAATGTCAGTAGAGAGAGGGAGAGGAAGCGTCCTCCGAGATAGCACACAAGAACCTACACGGCACTCCGAATGACGCCACTAGAAGGGGGACCAGGTCTGATCCTGAAGGCTGGGAGTGAGTTGAGGAGTGCCCGAAATGCCAATATTTATCTTTTTTTTACGCAACAACTAGGACATGCAGGCAAAATCGGTTTTCTGTTCTTTACTTCAGAAGTGTCAGAGAGCAACTTCCAGAAATCTTTGACCAAAGTCCGGAAATTGTTGCACCCCCCCTTTAAGGTGCAGCTCGTTCTGCAACAGGTCTATTGACTCGTGTATAGTGTAGGTGGAGTGAAAGCTAGAACGGCAGTGGAGGTTTTGATTGACAGATGATTTGTGAATGTCTCTTCCCAAAATATCTGTCACTTAAAGCCTCTGCTGCTGTGCTGCTGTTTTAGCTTCTTTCTCAAGTTTTGATTTGCTTGATAAAAATATTTATCAGCTGCATTTAGCCTCACTAGACACATGTGTATGTCTCTCCTAATGTTGTACTCAGGGACTTAGAAGCATGTCAGAAGAGCTTACAGTGACAGGAGTCTTACATATTTTGCCTGCTTTTTCTCAAAACAGTGCAGAAGCTACGTCTGCCTAGTCAATCATTGTACAAACATGTAGTCATGTGCGACTAGTAGATTTTAAGTTTGAAGCAAGTAGTAGTTTTGGACAAATATTTTCAGATTGAATATAGAATAGTTTCTCTAAGTTTTTCACTACTGTTGCGCCATACTTAAATGAAAACCCAGCTGAACTCACGAAGATTGTTCCCAAGCTTCCACCTGTCCATTTCCGTGCTAATTTTAATTTAAGTTATATTTATTGACTTTGGCCTCAGAAAGTTCAATGCCTACATTGTGATGGCAAGGAAATGACTGATCTTACATAAAATATTCTTTCTTCAATTACAAAATAACAAAAAAAATGAATCTCGGATGGTGAGTGCAGGTTGTCAAGGCCTCCCTGGCTAAATTATACTCTTGCATAATAGCCACAGTTTAATCTTGAAAATTTTACTGCAATGCAGTTATAAACATTCACAAGGTTTCCATTTCTTTTTAAATGCACCAGGTGTGCACGTGCACCATCCTGCTTTAAAAGCGTTTTTCTCCTATGCAGCGCAACTGCAATATTTATACCTTTTGAAACGTTGATTGCAGCTGGTTATCCCCGTTAAGTGCACTCTTTACCGAGCACCGGTACACTGCAGTAAAGCAACACCCACAGGGCTCGCGCCGGCGGGCATTGCTTCTCTGCAGCGCACCAATGCTCAGTAGAAGCGCGCTCAGTGGGGCTTACCTGCCGCAATCAAGACATGAAAAAATATCAATGTCACAGTCCATCTCGAAGTGAATATCGAATAGCATATTATTCTAAACTACTATGTTTGGAAATTTGAATATTCGCACAACGCTGCAAACATGTGATGTCTAATGCAGTGGAGGTTTATTGCAAACATTTGCACCGCTCGCATTTAGTCTTATTGAACTTTTGTATTAATTTTAATGTATTTTCCTCAGGAAACATGTTATGCACATAACTAGTGGGGATTCTAAGTTTTGTTAACCAGAAAGCAGGGATGATGTACTGTGGCATTTGTTCAGTGTACCAATGAAAAAAACAGTCACAGAAAATCCAGTTCACAGCACTATTTATTAGGTTAAGGTGATATATCTATGGAAACACCGCAAATACTACAGTACAACCACTCTGTATTGGCCTCGAGATTGACCTAGAGGTGGCGCTACTGTCGTGCTATCATCATCATCAAAGCGGGGATAGAAGTACGGCCGCCCCATAGACTCTCCACGTTCGCGCGCGAGGCGGCGTAGGTTCTTGCGTTTATTTTGTCACATAGGATCGGTGGGAAAGCAATTCTAGCGAAAAATGGTGCGGTGCTGTTCGGTCCTTCGGTGAAAATCAGATTGTGTGACCATCATATGGCTTAAATTTAAATAATTGCTCGTGTAGTTGCGTCGTCTGCTCTAGGCAGGCATTGGGAAGCATGGATCACCACGACGGATGCCTGTGTTCGGCTGAACTCCACTAATTATGTTAAATATATTCTTTTTAATGGATGTATCGGTTCACCAGCTTGGGAATTCAACAAAACAATAAATTCCACCCCAGATAACATAATATTGGTACTGTGGCCTGTAAAAACCCAAAATCAATGTTTTTTTTTTTTGCTTTTAGTTTTTGCAGTAATATAAATAAATGTTTAGCTTGAAGAGAAGTTATTGCTGTATTGGAAATTACCATGCAATTGAGTTCCGCTGCAGCCAATGTTTCCCTTTACTGTACCATGGTGTGGGTAAGTTTTTCGGAGTGTGAACATTCTACTACGTTGCGATGAGGAGAGAGTGCCTCTTCTAGTTACGATCCGCAAACTGCTCGTTGGCAGGACAACTGCAACAAGTGAAACAAACTGTTCTAATAAATATATCTGCTGCGAGTGTGACTAACGAGTGTAACCGAGCAACGCAGCAGCGTTTGTGGCATTAAATGTTCTTCTCAATAGGGGGGGTTGACCCGATTCAATTTTCTTGGTGAGAGCCGCGGATGTCAAGAGGCTAATAGTATAAATTTCTGGCTAAATAACCTTCTATTCAAACACAGTAGACTCTGCAACTTCAACAAACGACTCGCACCATGACACAGACAGCATCGGCCGCAGCGACACTCTTTTACTGATGAGGGATAGCGACCGTCATGAGACTTTCCGATCACCCTCTGCCCTCACCTAACGTGTATTGGGACTGGGCAGTTCATTGATTAACATTCAGAGTGTTCAAGTAGTGCTTTAATTACGATTTTTTTGCCATTTAATTGGAATTTTGTGCTGGAGAAAGTCAACAAAGAGTAAAAAATGCATGCTTTAATATTTTTGAGGTCTTTATTTCTTTCATGACACAGGCTTGCTCAATAAACCACTTCAGCGTGCTTGTGATTGTCACTAAGGTGATTATACTGTTTAAATGATAACTTAAAAATTACTTCACTTACAAAAATATGAACACGGGAAGTGTTCATATTTTTGTAGGTGTCAAATGTGAAGTTTAAAATGGGAATGCAATATGCCATTTATGACATAGTAAAAATAGTAAAAAAATGTGTAGTTTTAACGTCTTTCATTCTATATGACTGGCGAAAAATAAACGAACTGATTTATTGATTGATTAGTCTATTAAAAGGTAGTGGGGTGATTTCAGATAAGATCGACCAAAGGGTGGCTGGTCGACATTTTTAAATCAACTGATCTTTTTATATGACATTGTCTAGTGTCTGGTATAAACGAATCCACACTTAGTTTTGACCAGAAAAAAAATTTGGAGACAAGAAAAATCGTAAGGCAGGGAGAGGTGGACAGTTGCAATAACGCGCACTGATGGAGGGGGCAAGTTTGAAAGTGAATAATTAAAACAATAAAATTAGGAAAATTTTAAAACTTTTTACAAACAAACTATGGGTACAACTTGCTTGTAATATAAAGTAATAATATTTATTAAAAATTTATTTAGTTTTCTAAAAACTGCCAAACATGCCTGCTCGAATGACAAATGGCAAACTTTGGAAATCTGTATCTCATGAAATAATTTAATCATTATTACATAACTTGCAGACATTATTTTACTAATATATGGCTATTATTGAAAAAATAAATAAGGTATCTGAGTGACACAATAGTTACAATATATTTAGGCAAACATGGGAAAAAAATCAAACAAAGAAAAATTCCAATGCGAATAAAAAAAAAACACCACCTTCGATTTTTTTTTAAATTTGGGTACCCTGTTATACTCTATTTCGGCATTCATTTCTATTAAAAACATGTTGCATCATTGCACTGTGAAAGAAGAAACAACTCCCCAAAGTAGGGTCCTTTTTCAAAGCCTACACTTAGCAGTGTCCTATACAAGAAGTGACTCTGAGTTCCAGTTTCATGAAACTTGCACAAATCTTTTATATACATTTATTCAGATGAGGTCATTGATAAAAAGAGCGATCGGTCACACAGTAAAAGGGAGGAGAAACTATATACAGCATTTTACATAAGCGTACAAAGTGGTATCATATTAGAGACTAATGATTTGAGAAAAGATGATGCAGTGTGAAGTTGTACCTTCCGGTATATTTTACATCTAGAGTAAAATAAATAATTTTACTTCCACACACAAAAACAAAGATGTAATAGTAAGATATTTAGGTTGGCTGTGTATTTACGATTACAAACAATTTC